TGAACAAACCCTCCTGGTCTCTTCCCTGGGACTTGAGTGTCCCCCCTTGTACACCCTCCAAAGACAAACAGTACCCCCCTTCCTGGTCCTCTCTTTTCCATACCCCCTTCTCCACTCCAACACTCCCGTCACATGGAGTTGAGGGTGGAGGACAAGGAGAGAAAGAAACCCTTTACATTGTGCAGTATTTAGTCCTCTATGAAAGATGGAGAAGGTCTCAAGAGAAGGCTGTACCAGGGAAAGAACTCCCATGATCCCAAGGGAGAACCCTCCATGACTAGACCCAACTCCAAGCCTCAGGGTCAGGACACCCAGGATGGACAGACAGCTTTGGCACAGCCACCTAGCACCACAGTCATGCTTGGGACCCTGTGTGAACCCGGGGTCTGGAAGCTCTAGCTTGTGTCACTGCTGTGACCTAGGCAAGACATCCCAGAAGCATTAGGAAATGACTTTCTTAGATTTAACAGGACAAAGTTTCTCCTGCCACACCACAAAACACCAATGACCACACTCAGAAGGGAAATCCTGGCCGTCCCGCAAATAAAGACAGGTGGGTACCCAAATTAGTAATTAGAAAAGTAAATGTTACATTATCTGCCTTGAAATCATATCCTAAGATCACACACTAAAAAGTACATGGTTAATAATGACTTTCTTATGAGTAAATGCCTCAAGAAACTAAGATGAGTTTATATAGCCCCATGCCATACATGAGCTCCAAGTAATAACACAGCAAAGACAATAGAGGCATCATCCCCCTAAAAGTGGCTGCAGAATGAGGCATAGTGGCTTGGGAGAAGAAGAAGGATGGGATTGTTGTGTTTAGAAAAAGTTTCAAGAAGCATCTTTGGCTATGGGATTCAAGGGTCACCTTATTCGTCCGCATCCCCGGGGCATAACCCAGTGAAGGGAGCTTTGATCAAGAAGTTAAAAGTTGCAGAGACAGGTCATGGGAATGTAGGAGTTGGCTTTTGGCACAGACATCAGGCACTGGAAGTCTGAACCGAGAGAGTTTAGCTTTGAAGTGTGCACCTGTGACGATGTGAACTTCCCACTGCAAAGGGCCGGACAAAACCAAGGCCTTGATCCTTCTTGTGCTGTGTGTAGGGAGACCATAGCATCAGAGGACAGATTTAAAAATACAGTGCTGAATTCTCTCCCTTAAAAAGCAAAGAAAGGAGCTGGGCATGGTGGCACATGCCTTTAATCCCAGCACTCCGGAGGCAGAGGCAGGTGGATCTCTGTGAGTTTGAGGCCAGCCTGGTCTACATAGTGAAATTGTCTCTCAAAAAAATAAAAAGAAGGGAGGGAGGAAGGAGGGAGGAAGGGAGGGAGGGAGGGAGGAAGGAAGGAAGGAAGGAAGGAAGGGAGAGAAGAAGGGAGGAAGGGAGGGAGGGAGGAAGGAAGGAAGGAAGGGAGAGAAGAAGGGAGGAAGGAAGGAAGGATCTGGGAGGATGTGTTAGGAAACTTGCAAGTTCTCCATCTCTGAGGAACTTGTGTGGATCTACAAACCTATACAAGCCTTGAACCAACTTTATTGCTCAGGAACGCACGTCTCCAGGCCCTGGGAGATTTGCAGCATGTGTGTGAAGGGAGACAGGGTCTCTAGTCTAAGCTTCAGTGAGAGGTGAGATCCTAACTCAGACAGGCACTTTCTTTGAATTGAGAGCTAGTCTCCTTTCAGAAACACAGGAGGAGCCTGTTTGTTCCTCTGATTAAGCCATTTAAGCAAACACTGATGGTCACTCCAGTTCCCAAGTGGTCTAGGATGTGCTGTGTATGACTCAGGGCACCATCAAGTCCTCTTACCTGAGGCTTGGGGGAGTGGGGGGGGAGGTTCATTTGTTTTGTTTAGAATTTGTTGTTTGTTTTAGACTTTGTTTATATTTTATTTTATGTGTATGAGTGTTTTGCTTACATGAATATCTTTGTACCATGTGCAGAAGAGAGCATCAGATCCCCTAGGACTAGAATTACAGATGGTTATAAACCATCATGTGGGTGATGGGAATCGAACCCAGGTCCTCTGCAAGAGTATCCAGTGCTCCCTAACCTCTGAGCTATTTCTCCAGTACCTGTTTGTTTCTGAGTCAGGATCTCACTCTGTAACCCAGACCAGCTTGGAACTATGTAACTGGAGCTGACTTTTAAATTTTGACACTCTTCCTGCCTCAGCCTCTCAAATACTGGCATTATAAACGGGAGCCACCATACCTGCCTTGAGCTTAGTTATGATTTACTTTGGGGACTGCAGTGGGCTGTACCTGTGCATCTGCCAGAAGGAGTTCCTCTTATCTTCGTAATTTCTACATGTGTGATATCCATCACACTCCGCTTTAAGGCTCCTCCAGTGATAAAGTTGTTTTCTTTCTCTGCTACCGTTGGGAAGAGGTTTTTAGGGTTGGGAGAAGATTTTTATTTTAAATATATCCTCCTTGACTTGGGGTGTAGCTCAGTGGTAGAATGCCTGCCTAGCATACTTGAGGTTCTGAGCTCAATACTCAGCACCACAGAATACAATTAAAAATTGGATGTATCTTCCCAATATACCACATGTGCTTAAAAAAAAAAACCAGTGAAAAATGAAGGAGGGTGCAGGTCTTGAGAAGTGAAGACCCAAGTAGGGTGTGGGGGCTTGTGGGGGAAGCAGGGGGTGGTAGGAAACGGGAGAGGAACTTCTAAGATAGAAGCTGACATTCCGTTGCGAATAATAATACGTTAAAACATAGAGGGCAAATAAAAAAGGAAAAATAAAGTACTGGAAAATAATAATAATAATAATAATAATAATAAACATAGAGGGTAGCTATGTGTCAAACATTGTGCTCAGTGTTTGAACATGTTAACTCACTAAGCTTATGCAGCAGCTCGGGTTCTTTTTCTTCGTTATTCTCTCTCTCTCTCTCTCTCTCTCTCTCTCTCTCTCTCTCTCTCTCTCTCCATGTAACCCTGTAGCACACTAAAGTAGCAGAAAAAACTAGTCACAAGGCACTGGGGAAGCAGTTTTGAATTAAGGAATCACCTAGCAGATGTGAACCAAACTCTTCGAGAATGCTGAACAGGACCTATGAAAATGCACACGAAGAGGGCCAATCCTGCTGTCATGAACCATGGGGAAGGTACAGAAAAGGGCGACATCAAAACACTGAAAGAAAGGGGGACTGTCACCTGACAGACACCCAATCCAGAACACAGAACATATAGACAGAAATGAGCCTAGATGTGGAGTGGTAACCCACCAAGACCGGACATGCCTCAAGTTTAGAGCCTAGAAACCCCTGGCTTTCCCAACCAACAATCAGCATGCCAGCTCCAGAAAATGGATCTGTCTGGCCCTAGCCTACCCCAAGCTACCATAACTTTAGCATCTAAGTTCATACAAACCTAGACAGGGACTTGTACAGGTGACAAAGTCGGAGTCCTAAACCAGTTTTCAATGTTTACAAAGTCCTTAACAAGCATCACTCTGAGTTCATGACTTTCCTATTCTGAGACCCAAGACCAGGAGATAGCCTGCGAAGAAAACCCGACCTGGGATTCACTGAAAAAGAAAGCCTGGGAAGAAAACCCAACCTGGGATCCACTGAAAAAGAAAGCCTGCGAAGAAAACCCGACCTGGGATCCACTGAAAAAGAAAGCCTGGGAAGAAAACCCAACCTGGGATCCACTGAAAAAGAAAGCCTGGGAAGAAAACCCAACCTGGGATCCACTGAAAAGGGGCTCACTTTCCTTCCCTGAGAGGAGTGAATTCAGGGGCCCACCCACATCTGCTGGATCCCTAACTGATTCTACACTGCACCCTCATAGCCTGGTGTTCTTGGGTACCTACGCTTTTCTGCACCCCCTGTCTGGAGGTTGGACAAAATGCGGCATTAATTGTTTTGGGCCTCTCTCAAGATGTCTGGCCCATGACATTTGGTGTATTTGAAATCTTAAAGTCTTGATATTCAGGTGAGTGGAAGGGAAGCTGAGGGTGGGGGTGAAGGGAGGGCTGAGGTTGTAAGTCTGGAAACGCTGTCCTTTGGGGCTCAAGGCAGCCTGGGAATCCCTGGGGTTCTGTTGAAGGGCAGGTTTCAAAAGCAGTAGAGAGCAGCGACTGGGGGTGTTGGAGGGCCAGAGCTGGCCTAGCAGCTGGGCATCCCTCAGACGCTCCCAGTCTCACCTTCTAGAAGCATTCGCTTGGTCTCAGCCCAGAAAAGAGACGTTTCCCTCCTCCATTTGAAAACTGGGTCCTAGCCGGGCGGTGGTGGCGCACGCCTTTAATCCCAGCACTCGGGAGGCAGAGCCAGGCGGATCTCTGTGAGTTCGAGGCCAGCCTGGACTACCAAGTGAGTTCCAGGAAAGGCGCAAAGCTACACAGAGAAACCCTGTCTCGAAAAACCAAAAAAAAAAAAAAAAAAAAAAAAAAAAAGAAAACTGGGTCCAACCCTTCTGCAAGTTCTCCTAAAGACCCAGAGACCTTGGGGAGTCTCCTAAGCCTTCTTAGCTCCAGCCTGGATGGTCCTGCCCTGGGGGAATCCTCTGTTAATCTAGAACAGTGGTTCTCAACCTATGAGTCACGACCCCTTTGAAGACTCTTCACAGGGGTTGCCTAAAACCATCGGAAACCAAGATATTTACATTACAGTTCCTAACAGTAGTAAAGTTGCAGTTATGAAGCAGCAACGAAAATAATTTTATGGTTGGGGGGGTCACCACAACATGAGGACCTATATTAAAGGGTTGAGAAAGTTGAGAACCGCTGCTCTAGAGAGTTCTGTCCTATCTAGCTCTAAACCTACACACACACACACACACACACACACACACACACACACACACACACACACACACACACACACACACACACGCTGCCAGGGCACCTTTAGTTTCTTCCACACCATAGCTAACCCAAAGGCAGAGCCCTTCCCCAAAGCCTGCTAGACTAGCAGGTTCAGGCTAGTCTAGGGCGGGGACTTGGGAGGAGGGTCTAGAAGTTGTGAGGGCGAGGACACAGATCCATCTTTTAAAGCCTTGGAACTGGCCCTGAGGCGACGACAGCGGCCCTGGGCGGTCTTCGAACTGAGCTTTGCTTGGATCGCCTCCCCGGAGAGGCCAGAGGGCGCCATGGGCCGCTACCGCGTCCGAGTGGTCACTGGGGCCTGGCTCTTCTCGGGATCCCTCAACCGAGTGGGGCTGTGGCTGGTTGGGGCGCATCGGGAGGCGAAACTGGAGCTGCAGCTGAGGCCGGCGCGGGGCAAGGTTAGCGGGCAGTGTCCGGGCTGGGCGTGGGAGGTTGGCAAGGAACAGGGGTCTAGGGGCTGTGACTGCACCGCCGCAATGGAGTTTTGGGGAAGTGGGACGCAGGGAGTGAGGTCAATTACTGGCCTAGGCTGGTCTCCTTTCCCGGACCCTGGCCCAGGCAGCCCCTGACTCCTCCTGCAAAGAGAGCCCCAGAGCGGATGTAAATACAGGACTTGTGGTCAGTCCTGACGCTCCTCCGAGCTCCAGTGTGGTGGGAGCTCAAGGACCAGAATGAGGCAGGTGATGCTGCTGCTGCTCCATCATCCGCTCAGATCTCTGGTCAGCGCGCTGTAGACTCTGGTCTGCCCACAGAAACGGGACACCTTAGACCCACCAGACAGGTTAGGGGTGGAAGAGGGAGGGAGAGCGGGAGCGAGGGGAGTTCTTTGACCGCTGCGGTAAACTGAGGCTCCACAGAGGGCGGCTCCGTCTCCCTAAGGCTTCTCCCAATTCCTGCCACTAAGTCCGGCGAGTCTGGTCCCCACAGGAGGAGGAGTTTGCCTTCGATGTTGCCGAGGACTTGGGACCACTGCAGTTTGTGAAACTGCACAAACAGCACACAGTGGTGGACGACGCCTGGTTCTGCAACCTCATCGTGGTTCAGGGGCCCGGAACAAGCGCGGAGGCAGTGTTCCCCTGCTACCGCTGGGTGCAGGGAGAGGGAGTACTAAGCCTGCCCGAGGGTACAGGTGAGCTGGCAGCGTCTCACCCTGGGGAAGTGGGCGAAGGCCTGAGGGAGAGAGGAGTGCTGGAGGTGATGGGGGACGGGGCGGGGCTAAAGAGAAAGGATGGACAGGCGCTGGAGCAGTGAGTTTCCGAGATGCAGGTGAGGAAATGGGAAGAAGTTATGAATTTTCCAGGCGTTTCCCAGAGGAAGTGATGTTGCGAATGAATTAAAGAGGGCAATAATCGATCAGGAGACCCCGTTTTCCTAAATACGAAGTAGGTCACGGAGCTGTGGACACAGAAAAGCAAAGAACAACAGGATGAGTTCTGTAATTCAGAACAAGTTAGGGCAGGGACAGGTGACAGGCTCACAGAACAGCAAGCAACAGCCAGCCGGGAAGGGATGATGGGCAGCTGGTTTGATTGGAGTAGTGGGGACCACCTGGCAGGAGAGGGCATGCATAAGAGCTACAAAACTTCAAATACTTACCATGGGAAACAAGAGAAAGAGCTGAAAGGAAAGCCAGGGTGGCGTGGGTAGAAACACGAACCAGCGTGTTGAGATGGGTGGATCTAATCTAAGCGACAGCAGGGACAAGTCGGTAACTACAGAGTGGCCATGGGCTCAGGAGAGTGAAACCAGGCAATGAATGTAAGAGTAAAGGTGTCCACATGTTTAGGGTGTGAGATTAGCCAGAGCAACAGACAGGTGTGGTGTCAGTGACCAAGACTTTGTCACCTTAATTAGGGTGACTTTCCCCCAACTTTACACATTGATGAAATAAGGTCGGTAGGGGATTATGAGCTTAAGGAACCAGGAAACATGGCAGATATCTGGTCTGGAAGCAAGATGCCGGTGGAAGTCAGAGAAACTGTGAGCTCAGGCAAGAACCGGATGGATAGGTCAGGGGATCAGCCAGTCAAGTGAGGTAAAGCCAGAGATAAGACATCGGAACTCAGCAGCAAACACAGACTGGCTACAGAAAGAACAGGGACAGGAGGAAGAGCGTGCTCCAAAACAGACAAGAAGCGCAGCTAATTCTAACTCTCCCCAGCCCGCCTGGCAGGAGACAATGCCTTGGATGTCTTCCAGAAGCATCGAGAGAAGGAACTGAAGGAAAGACAGCAGACCTACTGGTGACCGTCCACCCACAGGCCTCCCAACTGCCCCCGCCTCTCCCCGCCCCACCCCCACCACTCATCTCAACACTCTCCCTGAAGTGCTGTCCCCAACTTCTAGCTGGGCCACCTGGAAGGAAGGCTTACCTCAGACAATAGCGGCAGACTGTAAGGATGACCTGCCTCTCAATATGAGATTCCACGAGGAGAAGAGGCTGGACTTTGAATGGACGCTGAAGGCGGGGTAAGAAAAGGGAGCCTGGGAGAGCCAAGCACCGGGGTGCCTGGTGAGGAACTAAGGCTCAGACGAGGGGATCACATCTTAACACCTGCCCTAGGGTTCTGGAAATGGGTCTCAAACGTGTTTACACCCTCCTGAGAAGCTGGAACCGTCTGGAGGACTTTGATCAGATCTTCTGGGGCCAGAAGAGTGCCTTGGCTGGTGAGTGGCTTTCCCAGATCTCCATGAACTCCCAGGGGTCCCTTTTCATTACCATGCATGGTTCCTGCAGCTCCTTGGCAAATTAAAATGTATTACACCTGATATTCTCACCAAGGCCTCCAAAATGACAAAAATTAAAAATGGGCAGAGCATAGGATAGTCTAAATCCCCGAGGTCCAGCGTGAAGAACAGAAACATCTAGACTATGGTAAATCTCTTCCTCCTTTCTGTGCCTCACCCCCACACCACAGAGAAGGTTCACCGGTGCTGGCAGGATGATGAGCTTTTTGGCTACCAGTTCCTCAATGGTGCCAACCCCATGCTGTTGAGACGCTCCACCTCTCTGCCCTCCAGGCTGGTACTGCCCTCTGGGACAGAGGAGCTCCAAGCCCAGTTGGAAAAAGAACTCCAGGTACCTCCCTCCGCCTGGCCTTGTTTTCTCATTACTAGTGTGTAAGACCTGTTGAGGTTGGGACACCAATATCAGGTGACAGAAAAGGAGGCACCCCTTGGTGCATGCCTTTTGCTAGAGAAGAAAAAAATCTGAAAAATAGCAATGCCATGTAGCTCCAAGGAACTCCAGTATGAACGCGGGAAGAGGATGGATCCCTAGGGCACAGGCTGGGTCCAGAGACATTAGAAGGAATCATGATACTCTAGCTGCTGTCATTTTCCTGGATCCCAGTGATCTTGGCAGGTGAAAAGGTGACACCTGTGCTATGGAGTGGGGCGATTAAGAGGTCTTCTGGAAAATTGTAAAGAGCTGAGTTTGGGAAGGATGAACTGGTCACCAGGAGGATAGGCCTATGCACACTGTGTTCAGTGGCAACGGCTCAGGAGACTCCGTGGAATATTCCTCAGAGTAGGTGAGATTCTTACAGAGCAGAGGAGGGCTTGCTGAGCTGATGGGAGCCAAGAGCAGAGAGAAGACCACTGGGAATGATAGGACAGGGGATTGGCCATCTGGACACAGAGTCAGGTTGCTAGTGCTTATGGTACAAACTGGATTGAGCAGGCCTATTCTGAACCCAGATCGGCTGCACATACCCCACACAAGACACCTACGCTCATCAGCGTGGTTTGTGTTTTGGGTGGTTATTTCACTTAAAGATGAGAGGAACTGGACCAACCAGATACCGTAGCTCTGCCAATAGGATTGATGGACAATGACAAGAAACTGGAAGCCATGTCTGTAAATGTCTTCCCTTTGTCTTGGTCCCTCTGTGTGAACTTTGACCTCTAAAAACGGGTGCATCCCTTTCTCCAGAATGGTTCCCTGTTTGAAGTTGACTTTATTCTGCTGGATGGGATTCCAGCCAACGTGATCCGAGGCGAGCAGCAGTACCTGGCTGCCCCTCTTGTCATGCTGAGGATGGACCCCAGCGGGAAGCTGCTACCCATGGCTATCCAGGTAAGGCTCCCTAAGTATCTCATTCCTAACACTGTTCTCTGTCCCTTAGACCTCTGCACCCAGAACCCCAGTGTCTAGGCTTGGCTCCCAGGCCCTCTCTCTTCTGAGAGCTACCCTCACTGCACAGCCTAGTTCCCCCAGCTCACCCAAATGGAAGTGTTTGCTCATGAGTCACAGAAGCAGCTGGGTGTGGTGGTGCATACCCATAATCCCAATACTCTGGAGGCAGAAGGATCCTGAGTTCAAGACTACCCAAGGATACATGACAAGTTTCGGGCCAGCCTGACCTACATATTAAGATCTTCAAACAAACAAACAAACAAACAATTCTCACCTATTCCCAGCAATTTTCAAATACTAGTGTGCTTCTGGATCACCTCAAGTACTTGGTGGGTGTAGCTCCATGCACAGCACTTACCTAGCATGCACAAGGCCCTGCATGGGGCCGTCAGGGGTAAGGAAATGTGTTAAGTCCCACCCCCAGACTTTCTGGTTCAGTGTATTTGAGGTGGATCTAAGAAAGTACTTTCCTTGCTAGTTCCAAATGAATGCTGAGATTAAGTAGCTGAGGACCACACTGAGAGCCATATTTAATCACCCAGCGTCCTCGCATCTAGGAATCCATTGTTGAATAACTCTTCTCACCCACACTCACATCAGTCATTGGCGAGCACTGGCAACGATCTTACACATCATCTTTGTCCCGTTTTGTTGTTCTCTGAGGCAGAGTTTCACTACGTAGTTGGCTGGTCTGGAAATTACCATGTAAACCAGATGGGCCTTGAAACCACAGAGATCCGCCTGCCTCTGCTCCCTGAGTAACTAAAGAGGAACACCACCACACCTGGCTCGCATCTAAGCCGCTTCTGCTCTCCATTTTATCACCTGATCTCTGAGCCCCACCACATTTTTGCTGGACCCCTGCTTCCCATCACTCAGCCTGCATTCAGCCCGCCCAGTGTGGCATTCTAGCGAGGAAAGCAGAGGGGCAGGTGTCTCATTCCTTCTACCTGAGTGTAAGCCGCTAGAAGGAAACAGTTTTATTTAGTCAGCGAATTCCCCAAGAACTGTCACCATGTCACAGAGGGGAAGTTCCATGAATACTCAATTTCAATTTCTCCCAGATTCAGCCTCCCAGTTCCAGCTCCCCAGCTCCAACATTGTTCCTGCCCTCAGATCCTCCTCTTGCCTGGCTCTTGGCTAAGATCTGGGTCCGAAGTTCAGATTTCCAACTGCAGGAGCTCCAGTTCCATTTGCTGAACACTCATCTGGTGGCTGAGGTCATCGCTGTTGCCACCATGAGGTGCCTCCCAGGACTGCACCCTATCTTCAAGGTACAGACTCTGCCCTCTGTCCCATCTCCCTTACAACCCAATGAGATGTTTTGAGACAAAGTCTCTAACTAGACCGGGAGCTCACCATTTCGGCTAGAGTGGCTGGCCATCAAGTCCCTGGAATCTACCTGTCTCCACCCTCCACAACTCAAAGGAGGTAGATACAACAGCAAAAATCTTCAGAGCAATCTCTGAGTGAAAATTGGGGGACAGAAACTACCAACACTTTGGAACTCATTTTAATCAAGCTGAGTCATTTAAGACCTCTTCAGGACCATTATTGAGGGAGAGCTCTGAAATTCTCAAACATCTGACCGTGTCACAGTGGGCTTACAATATAGTCGAGACACCATCACTTGGGGGTGGAGGGAGCATTACTCCCACCTCAGAAGACAAATGGGTAAGAACCAACTGGGGGTGGGGGAGATGGCCAGTGGATAAAATGCTTGCCACTCAAGCGTGAGGACCCGAGTGTGGATCCCCGGCACCCACGCAAAATCCAAGTACAGTGGCTCATCTGTAGCCCCAGCAGTGTGATGGTGGGGGGACAGAGGGAACCAACTTCCAAAAGTTGTCCTCCGACCTCCACATAGGCACCATGACAGACGTGTGCCCATACACACTTACTCATGTGCAAATAAAATAATGTAATAAAAATAAAAAGATTTGAAAAATCTTCATAACATTTCACATATAGAGAATATCCCACACATCCCAAAACTGGTGCAAGCGTATAAAAGGGGGGTGACTGTCAGGGCTAGTTTTGGGGCAAAATGAGGCATCTGTTTTAGCTGCATGGTATGGAAAGCGTTGTTGGGGTATTCGAGTGAGGAATATGGTAAGAACCAATCCCTCCAGCTGGGTGCTTCCGTTTGACTGCCCAAGCCTGGCCAATATAGCTGGGACCCCTTTGGAATTACCCCTTGGGTAACACAGGCTGATTAATAGTACCCTGGGTTTCATTTACCCCACAATGCCACCTGCATCTTCTACTCACTGTGTATAGTTAAAGCCTATATTCACACTTGAAATTTTCTTTTCTGGCTCAGCCTCCTCCTGTCTCCATCCACCCTAACAACTCCATCACAGGACACCGGAGGGCTAAATGTGCCGATGTCCCAAGGGCTACCTTACTGTGCAGAATCTGGACTTTGATGGTCAGGGTCTAAGTCCTAAATCTTACCTGATATTTTCCAAATGTTCACTTTTGTTTTGTTTTGTTTTGCTTTTGAGACAGGGGTCTCATCCAACCCAGGCTGGCCTCAAACTCTCTCTAACTAAAGACATCCTTGAACTTCTCTGATCCTCCTTCATCCACCTCCCACATGCTTGGATCAGAGGCATGCACCACCACACCCAGTTTATGGAGCTCTGGAAACTGAACCTGAAGGCTTTGTACATGATACCCAAGCATTTTGCCACCCAAGATACATCTGCAGCCTAGATGTGCACATTTTAAAACTATGACGGGAGGTCTCTGTTAGGACTGTTAAAGGATGCACGACATAAACTGTAATGTGACGCACACGAAATGCTATCTAATAAGTTCTTGCAATTTTTCTTCAGAGTTGTTTCCAGGCATCTTTTCTTCTCATATGACTTGGGGCTTTCTATGACATTCAGAATCCTGTGTGGTTTTTCCAAAAAAAAAACAAAAAACAAAAACCTCAGACTCATGTGAGCTGCTTTGATATCTCAAGATCAAAGTGATCAGTTAGCACTTCCTGTGTTTGGCATAAGCAATTCAGATAAACACCAAAATTAGACGAAATATGAGTATGTACTGTGTAAAAAAAAAGAGGACAAAAGGAATGTATGAGAATGAGGTGGATTTTTATACCAGCCAAGGAAAAGGAGAGGAGACCCAGCAGTACCATCAAGGCTGGGGGACAGATTGGATGCTGACACTCCTCTGTGTAAGCAGAAAGCTTCATAAGCCCTCCCCCACAAGCCACTCCCAAAGAAACCCAATCGGCAAGTAACCAAAGAATGGAGGAGCATTCAAGGAATATGCAGGCTAATTTAAGCTATGAGGATATAAACGATAGAATATAAGAAAATCAAAAGGCGCTGAGAGCCCCTAAAAGACACCCACACTCGAGGTGGAAGGAAAGAGAATGATTGGGGGATCCTTTATGTAGACACTTCACCTACAGGGTCACACACACACATCACTACAGCTCCCTCGGATAAGAGCCTGTTATTGCCCCCTGTTGGCAGCTGGGGATATTGCACATTAAATAGTAATTAACTTGGTTAAGTATCAGAGTGTTAAGGTGTGGGCTGAAATCCTAGTCACCATGGCTCTACAGGACAACTGCTGAGGAATTTAGAAAGTGTGATGAGTGATCAGAGAACTAAGGGTCCAGCCTGTCAAGGCAGCAGCAGATCGAACGCATCAAGAGGACAGTAGGACATTGGTGTCAGGTCCTACATGGCCGGTCTCAAGTACAGCCCCTTCAATCTCCACTCCAGCTCCTAGTTCCCCACATCCGTTACACTATGGAAATCAACACACGAAGCCGGACCCAGCTCATCTCAGATGGGGGAATATTTGATCAGGTAAGGGGGGTATGGTGCCACCCAATCTCCCAGCTTCCGTTGACAGTCTGAACATTTGGGGATGCCAGGCCAACTTCCATGGAAATCTTAAGCCTTAACCTATGAGTCCTGCTCATTCATATACATGACTTTAAATCTGAAAACTCCATGCCTGGGCACCATATAGCCCGTGCTTCTCTAACCCTGCTTCCATCCATCAAGACCTGTCAACTTGCTTGTCCCAGGTAGTGAGCACAGGTGGAGGGGGCCATGTTCAGCTGCTCACTCGGGCAATGGCTCAGCTGACTTACTGCTCCCTCTGTCCTCCTGACGACCTGGCTGACCGAGGCCTGCTGAGACTCCCAAGTGCTCTCTATGCTCAGGATGCTTTGCAGCTCTGGGAAGTCACTGCCAGGTGAGCGGGGTGAGTGTAAGGGAATGGGTGAGATCTGGCTTGAGGCGGGAAGTCTCTCCCCAGAGAGAGAGGAGAGGAAAAGGTGGAGTCAGTTGTCAGGTTTAAAAACAAAGAGACTACTGTGGGGAAGGCTTTGCCCTGGAGGAGATGGGAATGGGGGGGGGGGGGGGTTGGGGGGAAGGTGAGGGGGACGGGAGGGGGGAGAAACAAGGGAATCCGTGGCTGATATGTAGAACTGAATTGTATTGCAAAATAAAAAAAAAAAAAACAAAACAAAAAAAACAAAGAGACTAGCCGGGCGGTGGTGGCGCACGCCTTTAATCCCAGCACTCGGGAGGCAGAGCCAGGTGGATCTCTGTGAGTTCGAGGCCAGCCTGGGCTACCAAGTGAGTTCCAGGACAGGCGCAAAGCTACACAGAGAAACCCTGTCTCGAAAAACCAAAAAAAAAAAAAAAACAAAAAAAAAAAACAAAACAAAACAAAGAGACTAGAGTAGGGGCAGGACACAGACGAGGACAGCAGTTAGAGCGGAGGCTGGGGGATCTGGAAGAACCAGGGTTTTGTCAGGAGTGACTAGCAGTCATGTGAGGATGTGTAGAATGACTAACATCTCTTTTCCTTACATGAATATACCCGAGCCCTGGGGTGTAACTCAATCACAGGATGCTTGCTTAGCATGAGCAAAGCCTTCATTTTGATCCCTAATGCTGCAATAAATTAATTTCAAAACACAAATCTGGTAGGATCCAACCCAAGCAGAGTGAGAGCCAGATGAGAGGTGACCCCAGAAAAGAGGTGAGAGGTTGGAGCCTCTGCTCTGGGCTCAGTTTCCTTCTCTGGGCAGGTACGTGGAAGGGATGGTCCACCTCTTCTACCAGAGTGATGACATTGTAAGGGGAGACCCAGAGCTGCAGGCCTGGTGTCGGGAGATCACTGAGGTGGGGCTGTGCCATGCCCAGGACAGAGGTAAGATCTGTCCCAGAGACAAGCGTTCCTCCCCAGACCTCAGGAACAGAACTCCCCAATCAAACCTGCCCTTCCATTCATGAAAGCATCCTCCATGCCTCCAAATACCGAGAACCATCCTATATACCCAGGTTGTCCCTCCTTAGGAGGCCCTGACCATCAACTCATACTCAGGTCCTCAGTCATGTCTATAACTTGCCATAGCATGGGACTCAGCTAGCGCAGAACTACAATGAGTTCTGTCCAGTCCCTGCCGGGGTTTGTGGAGTTCTGTGCTCATGGTTCCCTATTTCTCTACATAGAGACATAAATGGGAAAAATTTCCCACCAAAGCCCATCATGTCCCACCGTGGCTATCCCTTTTCTTCCTGCCTGCTACTGTCCACACACAGAGGGTTCTGGCATGTTGCACATTTGCCAGACTGCAATGTCATTTCTACACCTCAACACTATCTGCACGCTATGGCTCAAATCTGAACTCAGTGTCCTGACCCTTGGGGCTTTGGTTAACCTGATCCTCACTATCCAGCTCCCGTACCACCAGTCAGGGTGCAGCCACTACTTCTGGTCAGCTTCCATCCTCCTCCTTAACTCCCGAAAGAACTAGCCTTTCCTGCGCTATCTAAACACAAGGCCGCCTCCTCCTCTCCGGCTTTGAGGTTCCTTTCGGTCACTGCCCCTCTGACTTCCACCACCTTGAGTCCCATCCACTGCTTCTTTATGGCACAGCGGAGCCCCCATGGCCAGACTCTGCAATGCAGCAAACCCCTGTATCCTGGAGAGAGCCTCTCATCGAGGAGGCAAGGGTTCCCCACCTCCACTCTGGCAGGAGTGTTTCTCTAGTGTTTCTCGGTCCTGACCTTTTGGCTTCATGTGTCCAAACAGACCTTCTTCTCCTAGCCTTCTCCTCAAGCAGTATCTACATCTTGAAATTTACAACAAATATTCAGTGTCTTAGTTTGTTTGGATCGAAATAATGAGACAGATAGTGTAGCTTAAATATCAGATGTTTATTTCTCACCATTCTGGAGGCTGAAGGTCTGAGGCAGAGTGCCTGTATGTTTGGTTCTGGTGGGCACTCTTCCGGTTGACCCAAGTGACTTCCATGGCAGAGAGAGAACTAGATGTCCGTCCTGTCTCATAAGGACACCGCCATCTCTCATGAGAGCTCCAACCTCATGACCTTATAAACTTCCAGTGACTCCTGTGTTCAAATACCATCACACTGGCAAATAATTTCAGAGTATTAACTTGGGGGTGGAAACACAAGCATTCATTCCATAACATAAATATTACTTTAACCTCCACAAACAGCTTCTCAGCCCCTCGCCTCTCTATTCTCTCAACTCACAGAGCTCACGTTTGCCTAACTTTCCTGCTGCACTTAGAGGAAGTATGCTAAAATTAAAATGGGTAATAGAATAGCAGTCAGGAACCCGAGTTCAAAGTCAGCTTCTGGTTTTCCCCACTGGGTAATCTTGACAAGCATTTACTCTCGCTGGTCTTTGATTTTCTTATCTAGAAAACAGGTGTGATTATCTATGCGCCAGCTCAACTCAAAGCTCCCACACGTACTGTAAAATAACTGGCATGAGGTAAATCAGGACTTTGTTGTTGTTTGGAGACAGGCTCATTTAGCCTAGCTGGGCCTCAAACTTACTACATAGTGAATGCTGGCCTTGAACTCATGCTCTTCCTGCCTCAGCCTCCTAAGTGCTGGGGTTACAGGCATGTGCCACCAGGCCCAGCTCAGGACTTCTCTTATTCTCCATTGTGTAACTAAGAGACTATAATTCCCTGTCTAGAAATAGGAAGAAGCATCATTAATTCTTTTTTTTTGGGGGGGGGGTTGTTTTGTTTGTTTGTTTGTTTTTCAAGACAGGTTTTCTCTGTGTAGTTTTTGGTGCCTGTCCTGGATCTTGCTCTGTAGACCAGGCTGGCCTCAGACTCACAGAGATCTGCCTGGCTTTGCCTCCCAAGTGCTGGGATTAAAGGTATGTGCCACCACTGCCTGGCACATCATTAATTTTTAATCAACTAGGGATAACTGATTGCCCAGCCCCTAATCCTTCCATAATAAGAGTATCTATTATTTGCTGAGCACTATTTAAAAACAGATGATTTTGATGCTTTTTTTTTTAAGACAGGCTCTCACTGTGTAGTCCAGACAATGGTGCAGGCTGGCTTGGAACTTTACACGTAGGCTGGGCTGGCCAGGAACTCACAAGCCTCCTGCCTCTGAGCTGGGATTACATACATGCACCACTACATCCATTGTGCAGATGGGAAAAACTGGAATGTGGAGAGGTTAGGTAATTGGTCTAGAGCAGTGGCTCTCAACTTTCCTACTGCTGCGACCTTTAATGCAGTTCCTCATGTTATGCGGACTTCCAACCTTTGCATTAGTTTGTTGCTACTTCGGAACTGTAATTTTACTATTGTCATAAATCAAAATGTAAATATCTGATATGCAGAACATCTGATATAGGACCCCTGTGGAGGTTCAAGACCCACAGGCTGAGAACCTCTGGTCTAAAGTAATAGGCCAGTATTGGAACCTATATCTGATACAAATATATCTGCATAAATAAAAACCCCAGGGGCTGGAGAGATGGCTCAGTGGTTAAGAGCACTGGCTGCTCTTCTTGAGGTCCTGAGTTCAATTCCCAGCAACCACATGGTGGCTCGAAACCATCTGTAATGAGATCTGGTGCCCTTTTCTGGCATACAGGGATACATGCAGACAGAACACTGTATACATAATAAATAAGTCTAAAAAAAAAAAGATACCCTGTTAACACACTTAAAAAAAAAAACACACATCCGTTCTAAAACACAGAGTGTCCTTGCTTTCTCTCCTCTTATTCTGCAGTCTTTAGATCTCGCTCTTCTCCCTGCAGGTTTCCCTGTCTCCTTCCAGACCCGGGCTCAGCTGGGCCATTTCCTTACCATGTGTATCTTCACATGCACTTCCCAGCATGCCGCCATCAACCAGGGCCAGGTACAGAGAGAAGAGGGCCCAGGGCCCAGGAAGCAAGTGTTTGGACCTTGGGATAGCCAAGGCAGAGGTGGGGATTCAGATCCTACTACCTGGTTCTGAGTCACTTTCCTTCCCCAGCTGGACTGGTTCGGTTGGGTACCTAATGCTCCATGCACAATGAGGATGCCCCCACCCACCAACAAGGAAGATGTTACTATGGAGACGGTGATGGGCTCGCTACCTGACATTCACAAGTCCTGTCTTCAAATGACCATCACATGGCATCTGGGTCGCCTCCAGCCAGACATGGTGAGTACAGATCAAGGAGAGGAAAGTAACAATTGGGAGGAAGTATCAGTGTGAGGGGCTGGGTGTCTTCCGGCTGGAACCTGAATGATCCGTTCTGTCCCAGGTACCCCTAGGACAACACAAAGAAAAATATTTCTCAGACCCCAGGACCAAAACTGTGCTCAGCCGATTTCAAGCAGATTTGGGGAATTTGGAAAGAGAGATTATAGCCCGGAATGAGCAACTTGACCTGCCCTATGAATACCTCAAGCCCAGCCGCATAGAGAACAGTATCACCATCTGAGGCTGAGGTGGCGGCACCCAGAAGAATCCCATCAGCTCTAGGGCTGCTGCCGCTCTCTTGGTTCCGTGCCTTCTCACATCTGCTGCTAAGACTCTAATTCCTCTCCCGACTAAGCACACTCCACAGCAGGAGTCTACCACAGGGCACTAAATGTTCTGCTGTAAAGAGGAACAGTCTTTGTAGGCCATATACTTTCTGCCACAATTACTTAGCTCTCTCTGTACCATTAAAGCAGCCACCAACATTATGAGTGTGACTATCTTCCAATAAAACTTTATGTATGGACACTGAGATGTGAACTTCACATGTCACCACACAGTATTTTGGCTTTTTTTTTCCCCCAGCCATTTAAAAACAAAAACAAAGCCAGGCAGTGGTGACACTCACCTTTAATCCCAGCACTTGGGAGGCAGAGGCAGGCAGAATTCTGAGTTCAAGGCCAGCCTGGTCTACAGAGTAAATTCCAGGACAGACACAGAGAAAAACCCTGTCTCAAAACAAACAAACAAACAAACAAACAAACAACAAACAACAAGCAAACAAGCAAAAATAAAAGTGCTTTGCTTGAGGGTCATGCACAGTTTCAGAACAGATTTGGTCTAACCTCATACAAGCCTCAGGCCTAAAATTCCAATTTCTAGAAAAACATCCAAGAGCCAGGGTTGTGGAGAGGACATCGATATTTCTGAATGAAATCAACTATTTCAGCTAATTCCCCTTGCCAGGAACCAGACCTCATGTTTGATAGCCAACTTGTAAATTCCTGACTCTCTTCCTTGACAATTCCCCCTCTACCCCCACTTTTCCAATTTGAACACAAACCCTGGATAGCCCTAATAAAGGTGTTGCTGGCCCCAAGTAGAAAACATTTCCCAAAACAGCTTCCCTCCCCAACAGTCACAAACAAGAGAGGCAGAGAACCCTTGTTTCACGCCTGCTTACCACGCAGTAATCACAGGTTCTCTTTCACAACCATTTCGAGACCAAGATCCACAAAATAAACAAAAAAAAAAAATGCCACAAGATTCTAGTCGATGACAGGGTTCCTCTGTTTGGTGCTGGGGTCTTGAAATTAAAGTGTATTCTCCCAACCGTTCTGTGGCTATTGTCCTTACGAGCATGGGTATACCGAACTCAGTGCAAAATTTTTCTTCATCAGTGGCCCTGAGCTTGAACCCCAGCCCTGGAGAGGAGGGGGTGTTCTTTAAACATATCTAATTAGTACAAATATATTTCTCACTAGTGAAGTTACCAAATTTGTTTTGGAGAGGAAGGCCTATTCTTATTTTTACATCCTGTGGTGGTTTGAATGAGAATGGCCCCATAGGATCATATATTTGAATGTTTGGTTGAGAGTGGAACTGTTCGAAAGGACTACAAGGATTAGGCGAGCTGAGGCCTTGTTAGAGGAAGTATGTCACTGGGAGTGGGCTTTGGTTTCAAAAGCCCATGCCAGGCGCAGTCAGTACGGCCCTCCGCGCCACTGATCAGGATGTAGTTCTGCTCCAGGTCACGCCATGTCTGCCGCCACGCTCCCCACTATGATGATAGCGGACTAAACCTCTGCAACTGTAAGGGAGCCCCAGTTAAATGCTTTCTAAGAGTTGCCTTGGTTGTGGTGTCTCCTCACAGCACTGTGACCACGACACATCTTATGTTCTGGCTTAAAGTGCCTGGAGCTTTTTCAGTGGAGAGAGAAGCAACAGCCACATTTTAGTGTATTTCCTCCTTTCTCCCCCACACTTAGCAAGTCTGCTTGCCTTCATAATGTGTCCAATGAGTCTGCTTTCCTAGCCCCATATTTTTCCCTGAACGTGGCATTAGAACGATACTGTATTTCAAGTGAAGCATTTCCAGGGTCAAGAAGACCTCAACTATTTAAAAAGCGTCCTCCAAGCCAGATGCTCAGCCTCGGGTAGGGGCTCTTCCTCTTTCCTCTGAAAGTGTCAAAGCATCTTTCGAAAGGGGGACCTGGATAGAGGCGATAGACCTCCACGCCGAGTAATCTCACCATCTCGCTTACCGTTTCCCCCATCACAGAAGACCACCGGAGACTAAGGGATGCGTGTAGGGGGTGAGGAATTAGACGATCCCGAGCTTCTCGACCTAACCGAACAGTCCAATACTCAACTCAGCCGGCGCTCATTCCCACTAGATTCTTTCCTGACGCCAGGTTAAAGCTAGTTCCTGGTCATGTGACCTGCCAAGTCGGTCACGTGAGATGCCCGCTCCTTCCATTCCAAGACGGGGTAGGTGAAGAGGAAGAACCATCAGGCCCTAGTTCCTGCATCACTCACGTCCCTACTACCTAGATCAGGGAGGACTTACAGAGTTGCTGCTTCGGATTCTGGCCCCGCGTCCTCCGCCCGAGGCTTGGCCCTCCGCCTGGCGCAGCGCTCCCTGCCCGCCCCAGAGTGGTCCGCGCCCAAGGCCACGCCCCCGCCGCTCGGCGCCGCGCAAGTCCCCAAATCCAGCTCCGTGTCCCCGGCGTCTCCAGGGTTCCCTCTCGCCGCTTCTGCGCCTCGATCTTCAGTCTCTAGCGATCCCTCCCTCCTTCCTCCATGGCGTCGCTCCTGTGCTGTGGGCCGAAGCTGGCCGCCTGTGGCATTGTCCTCAGCGCCTGGGGAGTGATCATGTTGGTGAGAGGGCTGCCCCCCGAGAATCGGAGCCGGCCTGAGGGGCTCCGGGGTTGAAGGGTTGGGAGGCCGGGAACCCCCAGGCCTTTGGAAGTAGCAGACAGATTAAGGGTCTGGCTAGCTAGTCTCTGGAAAACGAGACGGAACTTAGATCGGAAAAAAAAATGGGAACTAGAGCGACAGGGTGATGGGGCAGGACCCTGGGAATGGGAGCCAACGCTGGTAAGTTTGCGGACCCCTCAAGGTAAACAAGAGCTAGGCCCCTGAGACATGCTTGAGTTGGATGGAGGCGAGGAAGAAGTGTGCTTGCTCTTCTCCAGGGCTCTACCGGCCTTCACATTCAGAAATATGAAGTGCTGGGTTTCCCTCCTCTCTTACGCCTGGTCCCATGATAATGACGCGTCTTGGAGAGCTGTTTGCTATACCCCCTTGTACCCAGCCACTCTTCCCAGTGTCCTACCTCATGCCCTACTCCAGATGGCTGAGTCCGAATCCAGCTACAACCACCCTGCTCCTAGCCCTTTCTGGTTATCTAAGGGGCATGTGTTGGGCCAACATTAGAAATGGGAGGAGCTTAGGGAGCCACCAAGGGGTAAGGTGCCAGAATTTGACAACCTACCTACCTATACCTTTGTTCTTCCAGATAATGCTCGGGATATTTTTCAATGTCCACTCTGCTGTGTTAATTGAGGACGTTCCCTTCACAGAGAAAGATTTTGAGTAAGTGGTCGGGGACTTAGGCAATCCTGGGCGCAGATGAGAAGTAGCAGGGTCTGGGCTCAGAATTATGTGGGAGACACTGCTGAAGGCTGGACGTTTATGGCCTTAAGTGAGGGACTGCAAGAAGAGAGCTGCTGTCTATAAAGTAGTTCAGTGGCAAACGTGTGCTTAACATGCAAGGCCCTAGTTTCAATCCCCAGCATAAAAAGTGTTTTAAAAAAATGCATTTGGGGAGCAGTCTTGCAAGCTAGGCTTCCGTGGCCACCCCAAGCCCACCAGCTTAGATGTGGCCTCTTCTAATGTTTGGCCTTCCTGAGCCTTCATCTACTTCTGCAAAAATGGATCCCATGATAGAACTCATCCCGTATGGTTGTCAGGAAGACTATTAGAGACGTCAACGCGTTTAGCATGGTGTCTGGTGCACAGTACTACGTGCGTATTGGATGCCGGGTGACTGACATGTCCCTGCTTACTCGCCACCCTCCAGGAACGGCCCTCAGAACATATACAGCCTGTACGAGCAGGTCAGTTACAACTGCTTCATCGCCGCGGGCCTCTACCTCCTCCTCGGCGGCTTCTCCTTCTGCCAAGTTCGGCTCAATAAGCGAAAGGAATACATGGTGCGCTAGAGCGCAGCCGGGCTCTCCCTCCCCACCCCCCTTCTCTATTTAAGGACTCCTCGGCCCCGTCTGTCCCACCCATCTGGCGTCCTCCGGGGCCGAGTTACCCCCGGCAGGACCGCATCCCTGGCCCTGCAAACCCTGGAGGGGGCCGGTGCTGACCGCGCCCTATCCTGAACCACAATAAAAAGCAGCGGTTCTCCTGAGCTTGGCGTCTGTGCTTTCAGGGAGGGGGCGGGCCTGGGCTCGAAAGACTTGAGCCTAGCCTCTCCGAGGAGTCCCGTCCCTTCGACGGAAGTAGAATGAAGCCAGCCGGAAGTGAGGCGACGTCTTCCATCGCGTCTTCCTCCGCGCAGCGAGGCGACCGGAGTGACTGGGCGGGCGGGGGGGGGGAAGGTCGGGTGTCAGCCAATCGGCTGCAAGGAGGGCGGGACTTCCTGCGCGGGCGCCAGAGCGGCCGGCTGCCCGGCGCTCCGTGGTTTCCAGCTCGCGTGGTGGCGGCGGCGGCGGAGCGTCTCCGTGAGGAGGTGCGCGGGGCCATGACGTCAGCGTCCACCAAGGTTCGACCTCCCTCGCGGACTGCGCTCCCTGGCGGCCACGGGAGGGTGGGCCCCCTGCCTGGCTCCCGGCTGGTGCGCGCTGGGCGGGGGGCGGGCTGATCGGAGGCTGGGGTGGGACGGCGCGCTGCCGGCCCCCCGTAATGCTGCTCCGCCCCTAGGTTGGAGAGATCTTCTCGGCGGCCGGCGCCGCCTTCACGAAGCTCGGGGAGCTGACTATGCAGCTGCATCCAGTGTCGGACTCTTCCCCTGCCGGGTACGTGAGACCAGCCTAGGACCTGGACGCCGAGAGCAGTCGCTTGGATCCGGTCACAGACACGACCCTCTCTAGCGCAGGGAGATCATATTAATTCCTCTGTGCTGCTTGGCCCAGGGCAGTGTAGTTGTTGATCATTGTTGAATTAGTGAATGACAGGTTGAAGATACTGCCAGGTCCACAGTCCCCCGTTCCCCCCCCCCCCCCCCCCCCCGCTGCAAACCGACGTACTGTCTCCCACCCACCCCGAGCCTTGTGGAATCAATCCCTCAGAGTGTTGCTACACATCTTTCAAGGGTTCTGTTTGTAAGCCCCCCTACTTTTTGCATTGGTTTCTGTGGGTTGTTTGTAGCAGCTGGTACTTGATGAAAAGAGATGTTTTCAAGTGGCTCTGGATGCAGTTTCATGTGGCTAGCGGTTTGTCCCAGGGCTTTTCTTAAGGAGGTCCTCTTTACCAATCTTTGAAAGGTGCCCCGGAGACTAGGGGGAAGAGGCTGCTTGGCTGTGGACGGAATAGCCTGTGGGCTGGCTCCACACACCCCTTCCATTTTTGCTACCACCCTTCTCCCCTTCCGACAGTGCCAAGTGGACGGAGACGGAGATAGAGATGCTGAGGGCTGCTGTGAAGCGGTTTGGGGACGATCTTAATCACATCAGCTGTGTCATCAAGGAACGGACAGTGTGAGGGGGGGTGGCTGGCAGAGAAAGGGGAGGGGTGGGCACCTTTCTTCTCCTTACCCATCGTCCTTTCTCAGAACCCCCAGCTCAGCATCTTTCCTACTTCGTTGCTTGTTTGTTTTAAAGCATTTCCTTGAAGACTGAAAGAACATAATAATTGTGGCAATTGGTCGGAAGTTCAGGAGATGCAGTGTTAATTAGGACCTTCAGAGAATTTTATTTTCAGGTGCCCAGATACTTAATGGGTGTATTTGATGATGAGGGTTCCCTAGCTATTTATATAAATCCTTGAGACTAGTATTTCCAGAGATGCATTCTGGACTAGTTAGTTGTTCAGGATCCATAAAAAAGTCTCAGTCTACCTTTCTGTCACCACAACATACCTGGTGGCCCTGTACATCCATACATCTCTCCCAGAGGATCATGAAAAGGGCCTTCCTGGCTGCTCTGTTCAGGGACTCCTTTCTTCATAACCCATTAGCCCTAAGGGGGCGCAAAGCTGCTGAGTGTGGGGGGGGACCCCTTATTCCACATGGATTAGGGCCTTGATCTGGATATTTATGAAGAACTCCTAGAATTCCTTCAAAGTGGTCCATTATTCCTCCCCTCCCCTCTTCCCTCGGCTTCTCTGATGAGTCTCCCTAATCTGCTTTCTCTTATCTTCAGGGCTCAGATAAAGACCACTGTAAAGCGAAAAGTATATGAAGACTCTGGCATCCCTCTTCCAACTGAGTCACCTAAGAAAGGGCCCAAGAAGATGACATCTGGGGTCCTCTCACCTCCAACCGCCCCTCCACCCAGCAGCTCCAGTGTCCCTGAAGCTGGGGGTCCTCCCCTAAAGAAACAGAAGGCTGGTGAGGGCTGTGGAGTTGCTGCCTAGGGTAGGGGTTAAAGGTCCTATCTGAGACTCAATGAGAGAATTGGGCCTGGGTCAAAGGACAGGTCGCTCCTCTGTACTCTGTGGTGATTTCAGACCGGGTAGAGGGGTGTGTCGAGCATGAGGCTTTGGAGAACCGGGAGGAGGGAAAGCAGTCAGGAAACCTAGAACCTAGCCTATGCCCCCCCCCCCCCCAGATGTGACACTCAGTGCTCTGCACGACTCGGACGCCAACAGCGACCTGGTGGACGTAGAAGGGCTAGGAGAAACTCCTCCAGCCAAGAAACTCAACTTTGACCAGGGTAGGAGTCGTCCTCCCCCTCCCACATGGCTGGGGTGGTGAAGCAGCGCTCACCTGGATGGCCGGGGAGGGTCCCAGCAGAAGCCCCGTTCTCGTGCAAGGGCTTCAGAAGGGAAGACACTCAGTGCAGGGGGTTGGGTCAGTTAGTAATATGATGTTTGAGGAGGTGAGGCTTTCTTGGAAACATCCTCCGGGCTTGCTCCATCTCGGTCCGTTTTACTTCCTGTTCCAGACAGCCTGACCCTGGACTCTGGCCTTCTCTCGACCTCTGCTGATGCTCCTCTACTCTCCTGCTGAGCCTGCCACCTCTGACCCTCACTGTTCACCGTGGACCTGTGGATCACCGGGGACTCTAAGCAAGGACTGCGTGAGAGAGGGTCCGAAAGCCACTGGAGCTGTCCACCTTGTTCCTGAGAAACATGTGCCCTCACCCTCTGACCTCCGTCTGATGGACATTTTTATACAGAAAATTATAATAAAACATTCTCTCGGCATGCTGCTGCTGCTGCTCTCCCTCTCCTCAGCCCTCGGGCCGGCCCCTTCTCAGTAGCTCTCACCACCCTGCCCGGAGCAGCACAGCCAATATTGGCAGACTCACTTCCCAGTGCCAATATTTCTGTGCTGCTAGAGCCAGGAGAGCTGGGTGTGGGCAACCAAGGCTCCACTCTGCTCTGTGGGGCCAGAACTTACTCCCAGGGCTGCTGACAACTGGTACTGACTACCTGGGGATTTTAGAGGGGCTCTTTCCGGTGTTCAGACTCCCCTGCCCCACCTTGCCAGAACTCCACGACAATAGCGCGGACAGGTTTTGTTCCTGTGCTGCTCCTCCAGGGCGGCCTCCCCCACCCTCGCTCTAACACCACAGTGTGGTTTGGACGTGGCCACAGTGCCGCACAAACCACAGTGTGCTGCTGGGGCGGGGGCAGGACTCGGATGGGTCGGGAGGAAGACGGCACAAGGCAGCACCGTGAAGACCCCCCGGGATGGAGGGTGGAGGAGGTGCGGACGGCAAACATGGCCCCCCAAAAACATGGCCCCCCAGCAATCGTAGTTTAGCAGGCAATAGGAAGGATAGGGCCTGGGAGATGGCTTCAGTGTGATAAGCTTGGCACACTGTTCACCTCTGGAGGAATTCAGCTCTGGGGATCCTGAGGCTAGGGGCAGAGGAAACAGAATGACCAGGGAAGACCAACAGACTGCCTCCCGACAAAGGCAGGGACCGAAGGCTTTCTGTGTCCATTCCTCCCTCCCTAGGTCAGAACCCAAGAGAAATGCTAGAAGAGACAGGGCCAAGGACAGCAGGGTTGGGAGTTGGCAGTCCAGAGGTGGTGGGGCTGGAACACGGTTGAGAGAGGGGGGCCGGAAGTCACCCTGGGCCCTGGGCCTGCCACAAGATGGAGGCCAAAGGCAGGAAATGGAGGCCAGGGAGAAAGGGGAGCAGCAGAGCCCAGGGAGAAGCCCATCTGGACCTGAGGGCCAAGTATTCAACCCCAAGTGCTGCTGCCATCCCCATGGCCCCCCAAGACCCACGCCCCACCCCTACAGCAACACTCATTAGCCCATTCACCAGGCCCAGGCAGGCAGGCCCACCCCTGAGAGCCACGTTTAAGCAGAGACAAACATGTCTCTCCCCACCCCCAACCGTAGGCCTTCCCTTAGCCTTTTCCTCCTGTCCAAGACTTGATTTTAAAAAGAATCTCCCAGAAGGCAAAAGTTTCTTCTGGAAATTAAAACGAAAAACTCTGTAATACCCAAATATTAATCTCCCAACTCTCATCCCACCCTTAACCACCACCAAGCTTCCGACACACCCCCCAAAACTCTTAGCAATCAAAAAAATCTAAGATGGTGTGTGTAAGCAGTCTTTTTAGGCCCCCCTGAGGATGTCAGACCCTCTCCAAGACTACTACCTGTTCTATATCAAGCCCTGCCAAGGCCTCCTGCTCCTTAGACCTTCCAGAGCCCCCCAAACAACTGCTATACCCAGCGCCCATCTCAGCAAAGCTTTTGTGGGGGGTAAAAATTATCAAACACTATCCTAATGTCTGGGGATCCTGGGAGGCTCTCAAGTCTCAGGCTTTGGTTTCAATCTGGGGGGCTACATCTTAGGGGTACAAGAGAAAGGTTCTCTGGTCATCCCCCCAATTCCAAGAGTTACAGAGCCCAACCCCACCCCAGCACGCACCTCCAAACCTCCCCCCCAACCGCCACGTCTCTCCTGAAAACAGGGGACACTCTCCTCCCCACTTACCTCAGCTACTCTCCCCTGAGATCCTGGTCCCCTATTTTGAAAGGAGCAAATTTGGGGGTGCATCCCTCACATTTGGGGTGCAGGAGAAAAGAGTCGCCCAGTCGCATCGCTGGCCTCCTTCCTCTCAGCTGGCTCAAGGACTGGGGGGTGCCCTGGGGAGGGGGACCCCCACAAGAGAGCTCTGGAGGGGTTCCTCCACTCCCAGTCAGAACTGGGGACACCCCCCCCAAAACCCGTCCCAGCCCATCCGTCTCCAACTCGGCGGGAGAGGCAGCTGCAATGCCCCAGTCAGATTCCCCCAACACTACATTCCTCACCCCATCTAGAGGGGTCCCGGGGCCCCCAAAAAATCCCAAAAAAATCTAGGACGTTGGGAAGACGGTCCTGGACTAGCTACCCAAATTTGGGGTCCTTAGATACCCCCGTTTTTTCAGGAAAATTCTGTCTTTCTCCTGCCTCCCGCCAGCCCTGCTCTGTCCCGATGCCAATTTTGGAAGTCACTCCCTCCCTCCTTCCTCCTCCCGTTTCTCCAGGCCCCCCCGCTTGGGGGCTAGGGTCCAGGACACCTGGCTTCCAGACCAGGGGACACTCTTTAGAGGGCTAGGGGCCAAGAGGTCAAGCTCATTGCCCCTGTCTCAAGGAAGCAGGAAAGCCCGATCCTCCCCTCCCCTTCCCTCCCCCCTGGCTGGTCTCCGTGGTGGTTTAGGAAAGCCTGGAGGACTGGAATCTGCCATTGCTATTGCACAGGCAGGTTTTTTTTTTTTTCCTTGGGTTGGGGGGGTGGGCGGTGGGAGGGAGAGAGGGGAGGAGAGCCGAAGAGAACAGGGACCTAGGCGGGAATATCTGGCCTGGCTTACCCTCTAGCCCCTGCTGCCGCTGGGAACCCCTCCCCCTCAGTTCACCCTCATTCCTAGTCTGCTTTCTGTTTGGGGCTTTTATCCTAAAAAATCAGGGTGCAGGAATCAACTCCTTGTAGCCCACTTCAGGCCCTCCTTGTCAGTTTCAGCAACACTACATTGGTCAGACGCACCCACTTTAACAAGAGACACCTCGTTTTCCTCTAAACTGATTTTTTTTTTTCTTCCATGAGAAATCGGGGTTCAGAGTGCGAAGCCACCTCTTCCCCCTCAGCTCAATAAGCCATATCCTAATAAGTCTATGATGAAACATACCGCTTTTTCCAGGCTTCTCCCTTCAAACCCTTGGCTTATTTGGGGGTTCACTAAAATAGAACTTTCTGGAATTTGGGGCAAGAGGGGGCCATCAGCAAAAGACAACCTAAACCAGAAATGTGCTCTAGAATAGGTGAGCTTCTAGGCTGATCTCAGTTTAAGATCTATCTCCGCGTCACCAAAGGTGGCCAGTGACAAGACACCCCCAAATCGGACACCCCCAAACTATCCTACAGGGGGAGGGGTGTTCTCATAGTCTCTCCCCCAGAAGAGTTTCATACCTAAACATGTACACAGGAATATCCTCCCCTCAAAATGAGTTTCCACAAGATTCAGATATAAAACTTTGCCCCCCAAAACAAGTCCTCAACTACAAAGGCCTTCGAACTTGCTCCGAGCTTCCTGCTCTGCCTCCAACTCAATGTATGTTTCCTAAAAAGCTCCAAATTGAATTTTATGTCCCCAAACAATCTCTTCTAAACCTTGAAACACAGAACACTCGGAAGGATCTCCCAGTAGACCAAAACAACAGAGATGGGCAGGCTCAAAATCAGGGTCATCAGAATCCCACGCCCAACCTTTAAAACTTCCAACTTGCTATTAGCTCTCAAGACTAAAAAACAGGCCCCATGGGCTATAATAACATCCTATGGCAAGCAGCACCCCAAAACTGGCCACATACCTAACTCCATCCTGACATCAAAGGGAGCCCTTGGTGTTTTCACCTCGAATTTGGAGGTTAAAAATTGGATAGAGACCAAAATAACCCTGACAAAGGAAAGACACATCTTCATCCAGAATCCTTAGGTTATCCTGATCTGCTGTTTTGTTTGTTGTGTGTCTGTTTGCTCAAAAACAACAAACAAACAAACAAAAAAAAAACGCCCCCCTGGAACGGAAGGGAGAGGCCTCAGGCCCACTTCTGCAGCTCCATGGCCGGTCATTCTTGGTCAGCTACATATGCTCCTGACGCCATAACCAAAGAGCTCCTGCTTTGCCCCTGGGCTCAGCTCTAGCCCCTCTTCTTCAAGCAAACCTCATCCTCCCACCACAAGGCTCCCCAAACAAAAATCTAAGGGTGTGGTCCCTGCCTGTCTCCTGGATGGAGTACTTAAAATAAGGTTACCGCTTCTTCCTCCCTTTCTCCTCAACCCTGTCTTTGTTTACTCCACCCAACGTTCATATTAATGTTCAGTAAAAATTCACGCCTATCTAATTAGAAAAGACAGTCCTGTGTTCCCAGGCTCAAGACCCCACTCCTCGTCCCAACCACTCCCCTCATTCCAAGGCCAGTTCCACGAGAGTTCCAGCCTGAGTTTCCTTCGGAGGCCCTAACTCTTCCGTCCTCTACCTAAGTGCCCCACTAAGAGACAGAGGTGCAGAATAAACTCTCGCAAAGAGAAGGCAGCGGAAGGTTTCGGTGGCCCAGACTGAACGCATCCAGCTCCCTGGTCTGAGCACATCCCCAGCCGGGAGGAGACCTAGGGGCGAAGCGAGGCTAGTGCTCGTCCGCCCCCTCGTGGAAGGATGCACACATTGCCGAGCTTTGCCTACTTGCCGCGCTGGACCCCGGCGTCCCGCCAGACTCTAAGCGCAGCCGACCGGCGGGTGCTCGAGGCCCTAGTGAGCTAGGACTGACCGAGAGCAGCAGGGCTTTGGGAGGGAGTCTGTCTCTCTGGATCCCTAAAAGGGTTCAGGAGAGAGTCTGGAGAAAGAGGCCGGACGCCTAGGTCTCCCGAACGTCTCTCGGTCCCCACCCGGGGCTTTCCCCACCTCCTCGAGGGGAAGCAGCTGCAGGAGCCGTCCGGTCGCAGGACAATGGAAGGAAACGAACTAGAAATCATATCCGCCCTCTCCTTACCCCGCCTGGTCAGAGCCCCTCCTTTTGTGGACCCTGCCTGTCAATCACGCCTCCTTTTCCCACTGTCTGAGCCCCCTCGGGAGTCCACTACCGCCCGCCCAAACCAGATACCACTTGGGCTCTCTATTTGCTCCCTGATTCCAGTACATTGGAAAGGGGAGTTTTACGGTATTTCCTTTCTCCTTCAACAGGCACTCTCTTCCAAAACCCAAAACTCAATTCTCGCTGTCCCAGGTCCTCCGACGACACAAGGCTCCCATATTACCACCTTCTACATCACTAACCTCTCCAATTCTAACATCCTCATCCTCGGGTGCTCGTTTAATGAACCAACCCCCCCCCCCCCACGATACGACCACCCCACGATTCTGAGATACAGCGTTTAAGACAGAGACCCCGCCCCGGGCTCACCATCTGGAGAGCGAAAGAGGAAGGAAGGATACCGACCCACGGGTTCACCCCACCTCTACCCCCGCCCCCGACATCCCGGCCGGATAAAGGAGCCGAGGCCGAAAGAGAAGAGAGACCCCGCCCCCCTCGAGGAGAGAAGCCGCAGCCCCTGCAGGACAGGGGTAAGAACCAGACCTTGAAGAAATCAGACTTCTGGGTCCCCAAAGTGGGCTGGGGTTTGTTGATGGTAAGAAGACTTGAATCCCAGAAATTATGCTAAAAAGAGATTGGGGAGTATGGGATCTAGAGATAGGAGGCGCATGGGCGTGGAAGGGTGTGGGCTGCAGATCATATGTGGTCCCCAGGCAAGGTCTGGTACCTGGGACCCAGGCGCGCGGGAAAGCAGAGAAAAGGAAGGTAATGGATGAGGTAGCTGGAGTCGAACCAACGCACTGCTTGCGGGGGGTGCGGAAGTCCTCACGCTCGCCCTTCAGGCGGAGGTACGAGAATTTCTAACCTGTTTCAAGAGCTCTGCGATCCAGCAAAGGCAAAGAAGCGACGGCTGAGGGCAAGATGAACGAGATGAATTAAGTGGGGCTGGTGACGCTGGGCCCGCTATCTGATGGCTTTGACTCTAGGGGCACCCCGGGAAGAAAGCACCAGCAGAAAAGAGAATGTATCTTAGGCATGCCTGGATCCCCTAACTTTCTCCGTGGCTGGCGCAGGCCTGGGTCGCTATGGGTTCCCCAGCGGCTCCAGAGGGAGCGCTGGGCTACGTCCGAGAGTTCACGCGCCACTCCTCCGACGTGCTTGGCAATCTGAACGAGCTGCGCCTGCGCGGGATCCTCACTGACGTCACGCTGCTGGTTGGCGGGCAACCCCTAAGAGCACACAAGGCAGTTCTTATCGCCTGCAGGTTCGAGGGGGTAGGGGTCCTGGGACTAACTGGGTAGAGAACAGAGTCACAAGGCCGTGGAGAGGCAATCCGGCGCACGAGGGAAGTTGGGGATAGTGGCCCCCACCTGTAATCCAGAACTGGGGAGGCAGAGGGGAGGGGATGGGAAGGAAGAAGAGAAGCCTGGAGGAGCAGCCAAGAATTGGGGCAGCCGTGCTAGTTGGGAAGCAAGACTCTAAAGTGTCCTGTGTCTCCTTTGGTCCCCCACTTCCTAACATGGCCCAATCGTCTCTTCTCCAGTGGCTTCTTCTATTCAGTTTTCCGAGGCCGGGCAGGAGTCGGAGTGGATGTACTCTCTCTGCCTGGGGGGCCAGAAGCCAGGGGCTTTGCTCCGCTTCTGGACTTCATGTACACTTCAAGGCTTCGCCTCTCTCAGGCCACCGTACCAGCTGTCCTTGCGGCTGCCACTTATTTGCAGATGGAACATGTGGTCCAAGCCTGCCACCGCTTCATCCAAGCCAGGTGAATGAACCACGGGGTTTGTGGTCTCTGTGGAAGTGGTGCTCCGCGGATTATGGGCAAAAACAGGATTAGGAAACGGTGTTAATGGCCGTCATACTTTCTCTAGCTATGAACCTCTAGGCATCTCCCTGCGGCCCCTGGAGGCAGAACCCCCAAGCCCGCCGACAGCCCCTCCACCAGGTAGTCCCAGGCGCTCAGAAGGACACCCAGACCCCCCTACTGAGTCTCGAAGCTGCAGTCAAGGCTCCCCGAGTCCAGCCAGCCCAGACCCTAAGGCCTGCAACTGGAAAAAGTACAAATTTATTGTGCTAAATTCTCAGACTTCACAAGCAGGGAGCCTGGTTGGGGAGAGCTCTGGTCAACCTTGCCCCCAAGCCAGGCTCCCTAGTGGGGACGAAGCCTCCAGCAACAGCAGCAGCAGCAGCAGCGAAGAAGGACCCATGCCTGGTCTCCAGAGCAGGTAGAGAATCTGCAGCTCCCGAGAGTTTTAGAGACTGGCCTGCTCTAGGAGGCAGAGCCATTGAGGGGCAATCTGGGGGTGGGTTTCAGAGAAACTAGCCCACCTCAGGGAGCTGGTCAGAGGCCAGAGGGCATGTGGCTTATTGATTAACATTAGCTCCCTTCCAGAAGATATAGGTCCATATTTTCCAGGAAAAAAGGCAGCATTCTCTCCTCCCCACCCCGGGACATGTGTGTGTGTGTGTGTGTGTGTGTGTAGGTTAATCCCTAACCTTTTCTGTGGCTCCTACCATCTGCCTAGGCTATCTCTAACTACTACCACTGCGCGATTCAAATGTGGAGCTCCAGCAAATACCCCCTACCTCTTCACACCCCGCGCACAAGAGACTTCTGGATCAACTTCTAAGCAGCCTCACCCACCACCAGGTAAGAAAGAGCCCTTCTTTCTCTTCTGGCTTCTCTCCTGTGGCTGTTCCAGGTCAATCTGGACCAAAAGACCTCAGAAAAGACCTGTTTAACAGTTCCCAAACTTGACTGCAAATTGGACCCTTCTGTGAAGTTTCACCTCATCAGTCAGAATATCTGAGTGGCGACCAATCATAAAAAAAAAAAAAAAAAAAAAAAAAAAAAAAAAAAAAAAAAAAAAAAAAAAAAATTTAAGTTCTCCATGTACTTCCAAGAAGCAGCACAGTTTGGGAAGTTCTGGCCTAGCCCAATCCAGGACTGAACAATCTGCCCAGAGTTTGGCAGGCCTTCTCTGGCAGTCTGTCACCCAGAGTGAGGCAAGAAAGGAGAGAAACAGAAACCTCCACCCACTTGCAAGAACCTCCACATACTGTCACTACCATCGAAAAATTATAAGCATACTACTAACTATCCTACAGACTATATGGCTGTGAGCAAGCCAAGTGAGTCCCCAGGAGCCTTCACAGTAAATTAGGGGTTAAAGAGGCAAACAGATCCTACTAGTGTTCTGTTGTGGATTCACTGGTACCTGGGAAGTCCTCGATGAATAAAAACTAAGGTTGTCATTGCTCTCCACCCTTCCCAGGAGGTGAGTTTTTCGGCTGCCAGAACTGTGAGACTGTGGCCGGTTGCTCTTCGGGGCTGGACGCCTTAGCTCCAGGGGACGAGGAGAAGCCCTATAAATGCCAGCTGTGCCGCTCTGCCTTCCGCTATAAGGGCAACCTGGCTAGTCACCGCACGGTGCACACAGGTAGGAGGGGGGTCTTGGTCTTCACGCCCATCGTTCTCTTAAGGCGATCTGACTGTCTTCCTCCCTACTTGCAGGAGAAAAGCCCTACCGCTGCTCCATCTGCGGAGCACGTTTTAACCGACCAGCTAACCTAAAAACGCACAGCCGCATCCATTCTGGAGAGAAACCGTACAAGTGTGAGACCTGCGGCTCGCGATTCGTCCAGGTTGGGAGAGGGCTGGAAGGCGAGTGGGAGGAGCGTTGAGGGTTCCGCCCCTCCCGGGGGCGCTCTCAAGGCTCCGCCCCTCCTCAGGTGGCGCACCTCCGCGCACACGTGCTGATCCACACCGGAGAGAAGCCCTATCCATGCCCCACCTGCGGAACCCGCTTCCGCCACCTACAGACCCTCAAAAGCCACGTTCGCATCCACACGGGGGAGAAGCCGTACCACGTGGGTACCCTACACGGCCCAGCCGTTATCCCCCACGTACGCAGGCAGGGGCCTGGTCTGGCCACCGGGGCTAGATTCCTTGGAAAAAGAGTCCGAGTGAATCAGGGGCTTGGACTGCGGAGAGAGGCGGGGTAATTGTTGTCCCAAGGCGCTAACAGGTGTTGATGCGTTTGTTAAGTAAGGCAAGGCCCTGGGCGCCCCAGGGGAATTCTGGGTGTGAATGCTGAAGGGCTGATTGTCCGCGGAGAGCTGGACAGTTCCCCTTCCCGCCCCAACCAAAAGGTGGTTGTGGGAAGGTGGGGCCCTAACAGACCTGTCCTCCCACAGTGCGACCCCTGCGGCCTGCATTTTCGGCACAAGAGTCAACTACGGCTGCACCTGCGTCAGAAACACGGGGCCGCCACCAACACGAAAGTGCGCTACCACATCCTCGGGGGGCCATAGCTGGGTCCCCCCCACACCCGAACCACACTTGCTCCCTGGGGGCTGCAAAAGCTCCAGGCCCAGGCTTGGCTTCCCTGACGGGCTTAATATGGGAGTGTGCCAGGCCACTCTGGTATCAGAAACTTCTGTCACCTTAATTTCGTACTGGGGAGAGCAGGGGTGGCAGATCCTGGCTAGATCTGTCTCCGTTTTGCTGGTCAAAACCTCTTCCCCACAATCCAGATTGGGTAGCTAGGGGGCTGGGGAAAAGGAGAGACACAACTTGCTCTCTTCACGGGAACCGCCCCCCCCCCCCCCCAATTTCAAATGGTTTGTCTGTAAATATAATTTATTAAGGCCTGTGGGCGGCACAGGGCCTTTGTTCTGTTTGCATTTCTGACTTGCCTCTTCCACAAGTGTGATCAAAAGTGACCCGAATCACAGAAGGTGAGGGCGCTGCTCTGCTGGCAGGGCGACCTAGCACTTGGCTCTCTCCTTTGTTTTTGTGGTGGCTTTTCTCTCTGGAATCGTCCCTTTTCTGTCTGTCTGCCTGTTGGTTTGTCTGTCAGTTCTAGGACTGCAACCTTCAGCTTTCCTGGGGCAAACCCTGAGAACATGGAAGATTGGGTAAGGAATCCTCTCTGGTATTCCGATGGTGCAACTCCTGTTAGCAGGCTAGTCATAGAAAGAAACCTTTCAGGTCTGGGAGGGTGATGGGAACTTTTTGATGAACACAAAATATAGATGATAAATTCCTCCTGAAGGTTGGGGATGTGGGGGCTGGATTCCTCCTCCTCCTCCTCATTCTAAATGGATGTGGGTAGTCTTTCCTGCAACAAGGCATACCATCTAAACTGTTCCATTGAGCTATCCACCTGGGTTTGAATGCACTGTGTCCATCTCAGACAGAGCCTGCCTCAGGGTCTGAGCTGAGCCCATGATCCACTGGGACTGAGTTAGGATCTCCATGGGGAGAGAGCTAAAGATCTGTACCAGAGATTTTACGACCTGTTCTTATCTGTCCAGTTCCTAAGAATGTTATGACCTCCAGAGAATTAATGACATTCCTTACCTTGAATACAAGTCTGACCCATCCTTTAGTGCATGAGCAGCTGGGTTGGAATGTTCCTTAGGGTTCAATATGCCCCTTTGTCTTTGAATATGTTTTTGGACAGCTTCTGGAAAGTGTCCAGATTACAAAACTTTCCTCTTTCATGGGTGCTTGGTAGTTTTCTTACCTGGGAACCTGGGTCTGTGACTCAGTCTTCTCCCACTACACTCCTGTGTGCGACCAGTGAACGTACTGGACTTTACAGGGGAAGATTAAAGGGGGCCGAGTTCCATGCGACCAGTGAACGTACTGGACTTTACAGGGGAAGATAAAGGGGGCCGAGTTCCATGCGACCAGTGAACATACTGGACTTTACAGGGGAAGATAAAGGGGGCCGAGTTCCATGCGACCAGTGAACATACTGGACTTTACAGGGGAAGATAAAGGGGGCTGAGTCCCATGCTGGATGTGTTGTCATTGGAGGATTAGTGTTTGGAATTACGTGCTTCGAGGCTTTAAAAGACTGGTTGGTGGATTGGCCAAAGGCCCCTTCTATGTGAACAGGTTACCAGATAGTGTATGAGGTTAGCTGAGGGCTGCAGGTCCCGGTATAGACCATGTAGATGAAAGTGTTAGGGATGGAGTTCCCTGGTTAGACGGAGTGTCTGGAATGTTAGACAGTATTTGGGAGCCTTGATTTATAGTCCTGCTTCTTGCTGCCCTGAGACCTATTTGATGATAGGACTTGGGTAAGAAGACTTGAATTTGTAAGGCGGAGCTTCCAGAATTAAGTCAGCTGAGGGCTGGTGAGCAAGCCATTCCTCCCCTTTCCTATCACCTGAATGTAGAATTGAAGGTGGGTGGGAACAGAGGAGAGATTGAGAAGGTATTATGGTTTCTGTGTGGCGGACTGGATGGGCATGTGGGAAGTACCGGGGTGAGATGTTAGCTCCTGCAAGATCAGATCCTTGGAATAAAGAAGCCTCTCATGCCCTCTGTGTGTCCTAGGCTTCTGTTTATGGGGAGGGGAAGGGGGCTGGGGACTTGGATTCTGTGTTCATGTCACTGTTCATCCCACCAGTCCTCTTCAATGGTCCTGGTTCTCCCCTCCCTGCCCAAGCCTTCCGGCTCATTGTGTAGGAACCAGTGACTTCATGAAGCTTATCGGAGCCACCTGCATCCTGCTGAAGTCACTTCCTGACTTGAGGTGTGGAGGCTGCAGGGAGAAAGTAGGAAGCACCAAGAAGCTGGGAAATGCATCCATGCAAGTAGGGGTTCTTAACACTTGTGACCTACCCACCCGTCACACACAACCATCTCCAAAGAAAATGGGTAGGGCTTGGGTCCCATAAGAACAACAGAGGTGCTGGGTGGCGGTGGCACACGCATTTAATCCCAGCACTCGGGAGGCAGAGCCAGGCAGATCTCTCTGAGTTCAAGGCCAGCCTGGTCTACAGAGCAAGTTCCAGGACAGACTCCAAAGCTATACAGAGAAACCCTGTTTTGAAAACAAAGACAAAAGGAACAACCGAGGTGAGCTAGAACAAGCAGGAGAAGGCCGAGTGCATCACTCTGTGCCCGCTCCACCTCCCAGCCCTAATGTCTTGGAATCTATCCAATGTCCACTACATGTCTTTTTTTCCCTTGACCCATGTGTCCAGGGTGCACAGGTGTGTTCTAGCCCAAGGCCAAAAGTCACTAATTCTAGTGTTACCTCACTCTGGTCTTTCCTCAGCTGTGACAAAGATGAATGTGATTATGTTTCTTCAGTCTAGTGTTCTGCCTGATCATCTATTTTAGGGACTGCTTGGATTTCTTCATTTTTTTTTTTTTTACAAGTCCATAACCTAGGTTATATTTGAAAAACAAAAAAAAGCGGCAAAATACTAAGCAAAAGTTTCTGTCGCCTTCCACTCCAGCTTGTCCCCTTTTTGAAAATAAGACCAGCTACTTACCATCTATTAAATGGCAGGTCTTAAATAGAGCATTTTAGTGCACAAGACTTACTAATTTAGCCCCCTGGTGGCCCTAAAAGGTAGGGAGTGTTCTCCCCAGTTTACAGGTGAGGAAGAACTGAGAAGTTACCTGCCTTGACCAAGTAATAAGTGATAAAGTCAAGACTGGGGCTGTACCCTGAATCTGGAGATCTCCAGACTGGACTCTCGACTCCTGAGATTCAACTATTTCCTATACTATTGATGTACCCCTACTTATGACTAATTACAACGAGATTGCAGACCCGTGGTATTTTGGCATAGTTATTTTATTTTCCATATATGCAACTGAGAAAGTTAATATGGTTTGGTTTGGTTTTGCTTGGTGCAAGGGGTTGAACCTGTTAAGCCAAAACCCCCTTGGGGTTTAGGGAAGGGGCTTTTGTTTTCACAAATTTTATTAACATATCTATTACTGTACATGTGTGTATGATGTTTTTGTGTGCATACACCATGGCATGTGTACATGTGGAGGTCAGAGGACAACTCTGTGGAGTCAGTTCTCCCCTTCCATGTTTCTGTGGGTTCCAGGGATTGAACTCAGGTCATCAGCACCTTCCCTACTAAGCCATCTCTCTAGCCCCTCCCTGGGTTTTTTGTCTGTTTATTTGTTTTTTTTTTTTTTTGATTGTTTGTTTTTTTGTTTGTTTTGTTTTGGTTTTGGTTTTTCGAGACAGGGTTTCTCTGTGTAGTTTTGGAGCCTGGCCTGGATCTCACTCTGTAGACCAGGCTGGCCTCAAACTCACAGAGATCCACCTGCCTCTGCCTCCCGAGTGCTGGGACTAAAGGATTGCGCCACCACCACCCGGCTCCCTCCTTGGGTTTTTGAGACAGTCTTATGTCGCTCAGGCTGGCTTTTCCTTCACTCTGTAGTCCAGGCAAGCCTTGAGCTTGCCATCCTCTTACCTCCGTCCCTTAAACAGCTGGGGTTGCAGACAGGCCTGTGCAATCAAACTTGGTTTATATATTTATTTTTATGTAGATGAGTTTTTTCCCTCTGTGAATTTAAGTGACCCACATGGGTACAGTGCCTGTGGAGGCTAGAAGAGGGTGTCAGATCTCCTGGAACAGGAGTTACAGGCCACTGTGTTGACTCGTGTGGGTGCAGGCAAGAACCGAACCCTGCTGCTCTGTAAGAACAGCAAGTGCTCTTAACTGCTGAGACTTCTTAAAAGCATAGCTCCTTATCCCATCCCCCTCGTTTGCCTCTTTCCCCACTGGTCTGGTATGAATTCTGAGCCCAAGGTTTCAAGGTCAGAGTCCTGGGGAGCCTGAGGTATAATAATGGAACAGAAAAGCCCGCGTCATTGCTGTCATGAGGTGAGGGAGTGCCTGCTAGAGATCCGGCTAGATGAACGGGGCTGACTGCTCCAGTGACCAGGGTTATGGCTTGTCTCTTGTGTAACAACAGTTCAGCTTGAGATCAAAAACTGGTCAGGAAGTGGCCATCACTACAAGGCAAAGGGAACGCTCCCAGCACCGCGGAGGGAGGAAAAGGTAGGTGGTCCTGGGCAACACTGATGGTCGGACAGCCGCCTTCCTCTCCTCAGTTATTTTTGGTCTCAGTGACCTGCAAGTTTCCTGTCAGTGGGTCTGGAAACTGCAGGAACAAATTCTCATTACTGACATGAATGCCAGGAGTCCAACAAGTCCGTCCACTCCCCTCCCCTTAACACAACAGCAGTAGGGATTGAACCAGGACCTACACAAAACTGTATGCCCCCTTTAATTATTTTATTTTAATTTTTGTTTTTATTTATTTGTTTGTTTGTTTATTTATGGTTTTTCGAGACAGGGTTTCTCTGTGTAGCTTTGCGCCTTTCCTGGAACTCAGTAGCCCAGGCTGGCCTCGAACTCACAGAGATCCGCCTGGCTCTGCCTCCCGAGTGCTGGGATTAAAGGCGTGCGCCACCGCCGCCTGGCTCTTTAATTATTTTACAATTTTGAGACAGAGTTTGCTAAATCGCCCACGCTGACCATGAGTTTGCCTCTGCCTCGGGAGCAGCTAGAATCACAGGCTGGGCTCTCCTGTCTTCCCCTCTGCCTCTGCCCCTCTCGGCCCCAGCGGTCTAGAATTTTCAAGGCTTTTCTAAAAAGCCGCCCCAGGTGCTCTATGTTTGTTTAACTCTTGCCTCACCTATCCCTTCGTACCCACGCTGCCTGGCAATTCTCGGATCCCTCACTAAGCAAGTTAGTTCCTGCCTGGCCAGGACCAGTTCATCCACCACCAGCCCTTAGATGCACGTCTTGAAATGTGAATGACCCCAGCACCCGCAGAACCCTCGCGGTAGGTCCCTGGTCACGTGGGATCTAGCTTCCTCATGTCCCTCCTTACGCATGCGCCCCCCTTACTACAGGTTCGGAACATTGCTGTAAGCCCCGCCCACCCCTCCGGGCCCACCCCCTGCTCCAGAGACCTGCATCCTAATTGGCGAGCTGGGGGGTTGGATGTGGGCCCACTTAGGCAGGTGCTGAATCCTCAAAGATAACATAATCCACATCCAGACTCTCCTCGGGGTTGTGGCCCGAGTCCAGTTTTGTTCTCTGGCTTCTAAAGAAATCATCTGGCCCGGGTCTGGATTCTGAGCTGTGGGCTAACCGGTCCCAGTCTCCGTGGCAGGTCCCGACTCGTAGGCCTCCCTCCTGTCGGGGAAAAGGCGCAGGCGCCCCACGCTTTAGCAGGAACTTCCTAGCGACCAGCCACAGCTTAGCGCCGAGCGTCCTGCGGGGTGGGTGGGTTAAAGTGGGCGGTCTAAAGCCCCGATCAGGCACGGGCTCCTCGGGGCCGCGGCGGCTTTGTTCCTTCCCGAATGGCGCGCAGGGCTGAGCCCCCCGACGGGGGCTGGGGGTGGATGGTGGTGCTATCAGCGTTCATCCAGTCGGCGCTCGTGTTTGGGGTGCTCCGTTCCTTCGGTGTCTTCTTCGTGGAATTTGTGGCGGCGTTTGAGGAGCAGGCAGCCAGAGTCTCCTGGATCGCTTCCATAGGGATCGCGGTGCAGCAGTTCGGGAGTGAGTGCTGTGCCTGGGTGCCTGCCATGGCCTACCACCCTCGGAAAAGAGAGAGGGAATCTGGGGACCAGAAAAGGGGAAGGCGAAGGGTCGGGAGGATGCTGAGGGAGGACGGCGGAGACCACCTCGCAGAACCCCTTCCAATTCCCCAGGCCCAATAGGCAGTGCCCTGAGCACGAAGTTGGGGCCCAGGCCTGTGGTGATGACTGGAGGCATCTTGGCCGCGCTGGGGATGCTGCTTGCTTCATTTGCTACCTCCTTGACCCACCTCTACCTGAGTATTGGGCTGCTGTCAGGTGAGACCCTGGGCAAGGGCAGAAGTCCAAGGCCTGGATCTTAAGCCTCTGGATTTTCACCTTCTTCCACCTCTTTCCAAAAAGGCTTAGGAAGAACCTGTGCCCTGCAGGGAATTCTTAAGCTGAATGACTAAACCAGAGATAATGAATCCTGAAAATACAAGCCCAAACCCATCGGCCTGGCGTGGAAAAGGGAGAATTTCTTTAAGATTGTGCTAGGTATTAACTGAAATAGATATCATTGGCCTATTTAATAATAATAATAATAATAATAATAATAATAATAATAATAATAATAATAATAATAAGGCTTTCAATGCTTATCAATGTTTATACACCTGGGCAAAGGAAGATTAACGCAGCCAGAAACCGTAGAGACGGGGCTCTAATTACAAAGTTCTGTTTTAGTTACTTTAGGAACACCATCTCTTGTCTTCCCAGATCCCATAAAGCAGCAGTTCTCAACCTGTCAGTTGTGCCCCCTTAGGAACTGAATGACCCTTTCACGGGGGTCACATTCAGATATCCTGCATATCAGATATTTACATTACCATTCATAACAGTAGCAAAACTGCAGTTATGAAGTTAACAACGAAAATAATTTTATGATGCGGGGGGGAGGGGGTCACCACAACATGAGGAACTGTTAAAGGGTCGCAGCATCAGGAAGGTTGAGAACCACCTCCATAAAGTGTGTTAACCCCATTTTGTGGATGAGATAATTGAGCCTGGGAGAGTAAGCAGAACACTCAAGGTCACAGAGCTAGAAAGTGTCAAAGCCAGCACTAAGATAACCCAGAGCTGTGGGAGTCCAGAGCTGGGGCTGGTCTTCTGCTAGGTAGAACTGGGATTCCTGGGAGTTCTGAGCACCTCCGAAGTCCACAGCCTGCCCCGATTTCCTTTTTGACAGGCTCTGGCTGGGCCCTGACCTTCACTCCGACCCTGGCCTGCCTCTCCCGTTACTTCTCTCGTCGCCGATCTCTGGCCATGGGGCTGGCACTGACTGGAGTGGGCCTCTCGTCTTTTGCGTTCGCTCCCCTCTTCCAGTGGCTGATCAGCCGCTATGCCTGGCGGGGAGCCCTCTTGCTCGTGTCTGCCCTCTCCCTACACTTGATGGCCTGTGGTGCTCTCCTCCGCCCACTCTCCCTGACTGAAGACACTTCTGTGGGTGGCCCTGGGTCCCAGCTCACCTCCCTCCTCCGTCACGGCCCCTTCATCCGTTACACACTTGCCCTTACTCTGATTAACACTGGCTACTTCATCCCCTACGTCCATTTGGTGGCCCATCTGCAGGACCTGGGTTGGGACCCACTGCCTGCTGCCTTCCTGCTATCAGTGGCCGCTATTTCTGACCTCGTGGGCCGGGTGGCATCTGGTTGGCTGGGAGATGCCGTCCCGGGACCTGTGGCGCGGCTGTTGATGCTTTGGACCACCCTGACTGGGGTGTCACTGGTTCTGTTCCCCGTGGCTCAGTCTCCCACAACCCTGGTGGTTCTGGCTGTGACCTATGGCTTCACATCAGGGGCCCTGACCCCAGTGGCCTTCTCCGTGATTCCTGAACTGGTGGGGACTGGAAGGATTTACTGTGGCCTGGGACTGGTGCAGATGATAGAGAGCATCGGAGGGCTCTTGGGAGCTCCTCTATCAGGTAAGGGAAATGGGGTCACCAACTGGGCCAGGGATGTCATGTTGCATAATTGGAGGAAGGAACCACTCTCACTATGGTATGTTAATGTTGCCCTTTAGTATGTTACAGTACACAGCCTGCATAGCCAGTCATAACGGTCCTGAGGTTGGGTCACAGAAGGACAGAACTTGGGTCTGAGAAGGTCTGGGTGGAAAGACGAAGAGGAGCCCAGTGAAACTGCAGGCTGGGTTTTTAGAAGACCTAGCTTGACCTAATACCGTCTTCTTTTCCTTTGGCCCACTGGGCCCCTGCCCAAATGTCTGAAACATCTGGTTAAAGTTCTCCATGTTTAAGATGCCAGAACCTCCTGATCTTTAAACACCTTCCTCTTAACTATTAACTGAAGGCTTAGAAGGGCCACTGTTGCCAGAACAAAACACACAGATATGCTTGACTTAGTATGGCTCACCAGATTACCACAGGCTGGTTTGAGGTCTTCTCCAGGGAGGGCGGTGGCTGAAATGACATTTGAGGCTGTTTAAGAGACTAGAGGCTCATATTCATTCAGTCCTACCTTGGGAATCCCATCTCTTCTAAGATAATGGGTCTTCCTTTGCCCCCAAACGGACCTAGGCCATTAGCCCCAGTGTGCAGATCACCCATGTGTATTTGTTTTTCTCTCTCGGACCCAGGCTACCTCCGGGATGTGACAGGCAACTACATGGTTTCCTTTATGGTGGCCGGGGCCTTCCTTCTGGCAGGAAGTGGAGTTCTTACCACCTTGCCCCATTTCTTCTCCTGCATCTCAGCTTCTACCTCCAGACCCCGGGACCTTAGAATAGAGACACTGGATACCAAAATTCCCCTGCCCAAGGAGGAGGGGTTAGGAGAAGACTGAACTCCACCAGGAGACAGTGGTCATGGAGAGCCAGAGCTTGGCAGCACCGGGTCTTCTACCCCATCAAGGCATCCACAGAAGCACAGTGCCTTAGGATTCTTGATCTGCCTCCACCAGAGCAGACCTGGGGTTCCTGCGATTTATGTGCCAACCCTTTGTATTTTGTGGACGACTCTCATATCACCTCCTTTGTTCTCCCAAGATTTTTCTGAAGGATCCAGGAGATCTCAACCCACTGAGTTCTGAATCAAATCTGAAAATCAAAGGTCGAGGGCCTTCTCATGATTTATATGTGATTTCTGGTGTCCCTCGGATATAAAACAAATAAGGAAACTGGACAATAATTGTAACCTCAAAAAGAGCCAGAGGCCCAGGTGTTTGGGGCTGCTAATGGGGTCATGGCGGAGCAGAGAGGTGGAGATGTCCATGAGCTCTGGTGACCCAGAGTTCTTCTCTCCATCCACTTACCTCCCTCTTCTCCACTATTCCTGTGATACAGAAGGAAGAAAATGAAGAGAAACATCTATGTGTGGAGGAATGTGGCTTGGGAGCACCAGCTGCAACCTAAGATCCTTGTACTTTTAAGACAAGAGCCTCACCGTGTAGCCCAGGCTGCTCTTGAACTTGAGACCTGGCCTCCTCCCAAATGCTGAGATTACAGGTGCTCACAATCATACCCAGATGGATTTTTGTTTCTCTTAGGCTAACAAAGGCAGATCAAAATGCAAGAAAAAGTATGAAGTTTTGGAGCTGGAGAGAAAGCTCAGCAGTTAAAAGCACTTCCTGCTCTTCCAGAGGGCCAGAGACACCCACACATGGTAGTTCACAACCACCTATTAATCCAGATCCCGGGGATCAGATGTCCTCCTGGCTTCCGTAGACACCCACACACGTGGCATACATTCACACAAACGCACACACACATATAGCATAAATAAAAATCAATCTTTTTTAAAATAGGCCTGGAGACAGAGCTCAGCAGAGGGCTTGCTGCTCCTCCTGGTGCCGTTTGGCTCAGGGCATCCACCCCAGGCAGCTCACAACTGCCTGGAAGTCCAGCTCCAAGAGATCTGGCCTCCACAAACCCACACAAATAAAAATTTAAAGTATAAGATTTAGATATGCTCCCTAACAAATTGAAACTGACTAGCTCACAACTTCTCAAAGGCCCACTTAAGGCAAGGATTTGAGCCAAGGAAAACTGACTAGACAGGCATCCTTCCTCACCGCCAGGGCCCCTGGGGTCCTATTGCTTTCAGCTAGAATTTTATTTATTTATTCATTCATTCATTCATTCATTCACTCACTTATTTTTCCCAAGAGAGTCAGATAAAAATCCTTTATTAGGGAAGGGACTCCAACAAGGAAATAATCAACAAGTGGTGTCCCGGGGGGAGTCAGCGCCCCCTGCCGAGCGCAGGGGGACCTGTGGAACTGGGAGCAGCTCCCCTCTCTCAGGGGGAGGGGTTGCTGGAGGTGAGACTGGACGGCAAGTTGGGAGGGCCCTGGGCAGCCCCATGTAGATGAAGCTGCCAGAGAGGATGAAAGAGCTGCACACCACGAAAGAGGCACTGAAGTCTCCTGTCTTATCCCTTAGGAAACCTGAGAAAAGGGGTAAAGGAATTTAGAGGCCTGGCATCCCAGGGGCAGAAGTCTGGAGCGAGAATCGGCAGGCTCAGCCCTTACCTGACAGGGGAGGGCCCAGGAGTCCCCCGAGGCTCATCAGCATCATCACCAGCCCTGTAGCCTGCACCACACCGCCAATGCCCACCAGCCCCGGGAGCACACCGAAAACCAGCGGGGCGTAACTCCCGGCGCTCAGGCCGTAGGCCCCAGCCGCGGCTAGCAGGGGCACCCCCCATCCGTCCTCCGTCCCCTCAGTGGGCACTAGCCCCACTGCCAGTACCCCTAGCCCAGTCAGAGACCCAAACACAACCAGAAGCCGCGGAAGGGGCACCCAGCCCTGGTCTGCTAGCCATCCGCTGACCAGTCGGGCACTTGCATCTCCCACGGCAGCGACAGCCACCACCAACGCTGCCCCGTAGCCCCCCATGCCCTGGTCTAAAGCGTGCGGACCCAAGTGCACGTAGGGGACGAAGTATCCGCCCCCAATCAAGGCGGTGCCCAAAGCAAAGATGGAAAAGGCTCGGCGCCTGAAGAGACCTAGGCCAAGGGCAGCTAGCGGGGTGCGAGGTGGGGCCAGGGGGTCACCAGAGAGAGCTAAGGGTCGTAGCAAGGCGCCACAGGGCGTGAGGTGGAGGGTGACAGCGCCAAGGAGGAGCAAGGCACCCCGCCAGCCGAAAGTATCAAGGAGGAACTGCAAGGCAGGTGCCAGCAGCAGCGAGGATGCCCCATTACCGGTGAGCGCCAACCCCACCGCCAAGACCCGGCGGCGGGAGAAGTACCGAGAGAGGGTACCCAGGGCAGGGGCGAACACCAGGGCCCAGCCGGAGCCTGCAAACGGATAGGACAGAATGAGGGTCCGAGGATGGTGGTTCTAGCATTCCTTAGCCCTGCTTCTACCGCGCGCGCGCGGACACACACACACACCCCGCCTTGTTCGGTGTCCTACCCCACAAGAGGCTCCCCCATTATCACCCCTGAAGCATACGAGCATCCCACTCTTCTTACCAGCGAGGAGGCCCAGGCCGAGGTAGAGGTGCAGGAGGCTTCGGGCGAAAGCCGAGAAGACCAAGCCAAGCGAGGTTAGGACGCCCCCAACCATCACCACGGGGCGTGCCCCCCAGCGAGTGCTCAGGGCGCTGCCCACTGGGCCTAGAAGGGGGCGGAGTCAACGAAGACATGCCCCGGGACCCCCAAACTATCTCCAACACTTCTCATTGGCTGTTTTGCCTGGCCTGGTAACTCCTCCCTTTGACCTCAAGACCCACTCTTCTAGAACTTGGTTCCACCAGTAGCTCTCAGGTTGTCTGGTAATCAAGTCTGCTGTCTCCCATCACTACATTCACGGCCTCTCCACCCGGTTCCCGCCTCCCACCTCGGGGGCCCCCCCTCACTGGCTGCCTGCTGCACGGCCAAGGCCAGGGCGCTGACCCACGCAGTGTCCTGGGCGCTTCGTTCAAAGTGCTCCGCGAGGTCGGGGAGGGCAAGGCCCAGGGAGCGTAAGAGCCCGTAGGAGAGCCCGTTCACGGCGAATGCTGCGGCCGCCACCACCCAGCCCCAGCCCCCGTCCGGGGGTCCGGCCGGCTTGGGGGTCATCGCCGTCTGCTGGGGTGGGGAAACACCTGTGAATGAAGTCTCCACGCCTGGGCCTCCGCTAGGGAGCTGACGTCCCTGAGATCCAGCCTCGGGCTGCTCGCCCAGGGTGGGCACGTCGCCCCGAGCATGGGCGCGGGAACCAGGCCTAGGGATAGAAGTCCTGGGTGCGCGTGAGGTCCTGGAATGGGGGGGCAGCAGGATCCCCCAGGTCCGGGGCTCCTCCTTCCCAAACCCTCTTTCTCTTACCCGACCTCTCCCGGCGTTGGGGGTAGGGAAAGGGCGAAGGTGGGTTCGGCCGGATTTTCTCTGCGCGTTCCAGGCAGGCAGGGTTCTGCCGAGCAGCCAACCAGGGCAGAGATGGAGCCCAACTTGGACCCGCTCTCTCGGTAAACAGAGATCACCACAGGGGCCCGAGCCACCTGGGACGCGGGGTGGGGGTGGGGGTGTGAGTTGCGAGGGCGGGGGCAAGCGAGACAGCCAATCCACCAAGCCTGGGCCCAGGCCTGACGCCGAGTCCCACGGGGATTGAATTATCCACACACAACCCCCAGTCCTGGAGAGGGAACCGCGGGGAATGAGTGTGCCCGGTGGCCGCGCCCCGCCCCTCCCCGCGCCTCTCGGCGCCGCGGGGCTCACGCCCACGCACCTGCAGCCGGCTGCGCACGCAAGACCAGCCGGGTTGCAATCCCTGCTCGGCCGGCTGCCCACGCGTGAAAATAGCGGTGGTCTCCAAAGCCTAAAAGAGTTCTTCGATTCTCGCATTTGTTGCTGAGGATCCTGTAAACCTCCGACATCAAATCACTGGCCTCCAATGGACAATACTAGCAAGCCCTCACCGGGAAGATGACTTCCCAGTACCAAGACCTGTGATGTTCCAGGCTGTCTTCACACACACACACACTTTGTCATTTTGTCTTCACAATACCTCTATGACGAAGGCGCTATCCCCATTTTAGAAATGGAGTAACTGATGCTTAAAGAGGTTAGGTGACATACCCCCAAATCGTTCAGCTTCAAAAAAGAAAGGGGAAATATTTGAATTTAGGTTTAGCGTACTGTGGGAGGATATAGGCTGAACAGACCTAGGAGTGAAAACAGAGCCCGCCACAGTCGAGGGAAATAGCCTGGAGACAGATTGATGTGGACTGCCCTGGAACGGGCAGCATCTATGCAGAGCCACAATACGTGGGATTCTAAACCAAGGGTGGCTGGGAATAGATGACATCTTTGCCACCAGAATCGCTAAAGGCTTAGGCTAGATTTTTTTTTTTAAAAGCAAAGTAAGAGTTCAGAGAAATGAACCAGATGTTTTTGTATGTTTTTGTTTGTTTGAAGACTCTAGTGAGCATCCCTCTTTAAAGATCGCTCTTGCTTTACTTCGCTGGTTTGACTCAATAGGTGTGTTCTTTGGTTTAATCATTAAACAATGCCATTGAAATTTCAGCAATTTGCAGGTTGGAGCATGTATCAACCCATAGCCACAGGATGGCAGTGTTTCCTAATGAGAAAGCATCTGGCTAGAAAAAAGAGAAGAAAAACAGTTCAAAAGTTGTGAAACTAAAGAACGCAGACAGACTTTCAGCGGCAGACCATGGTGGGTAAAGCCCCACAATCATCAAAGGCAAGCCAGGCTACCTTTCCATCCCACCCTCCTGCCCTGGGGAATTAGCTTCTTCCCTACTCCAGTCTGTCTATTCTTTTGTCAATTCTAGCATATGCCACTTTTCTCTGCTGAAATGTCCTATTACAGGAGACCTTGAAGGCTTAAGGCCCTGCTACATACGCCTTAGGAAAGTGGCCTCACTGGTTTCACCAGCCAGGAGTTGTCTTTGTAAAAGCCACTGGGGTGGTGGAGCCTGCAGGTACTCAGTCACCAGGGAGGCAGGGAACTGGTTTCCCCAGAAGGCTGGTAAGGACTCTGCTGTAAGTTGAACCAGGTCAACCGAAAGAAATCGCTCTCTCCATGGTGAAGTAGAGATATAGCCAGGGAGGAGACTGGGGCCTCTAGGTCTGGGTTGTACCAAGTAATGCTGTGCACCTTGGCAGTATGAAAAACCCGGAAGCCTGGGATGACCGGTTGTGAAAGGGCACATTCCTCTTCTGCCTTATGTTCTTAGCCAGAATTGTTGTGTGTTGTTCTTGGAGGTAATATAGCATTGGAAAAACGGACCCCCACAAGACTTAGCCAGAATTGTTGTGTGTTGTTCTTGGAGGTAATATAGCATTGGAAAAATGGACCCCCAACAAGACTTAGCCAGAATTGTTGTGTGTTGTTCTTGGAAGTAATATAGCATTGGAAAGATGGACCCCCAACAAGACTTAGTCAGAATTGTTGTGTGTTGTTCTTGGAGGTAATATAGCATTGGAAAAACGGACCCCCAACAAGACTTAGCCAGAATTGTTGTGTGTTGTTCTTGGAGGTAATATAGCATTGGAAAGATGGACCCCCAACAAGACTTAGCCAGAATTGTTGTGTGTTGTTCTTGGAGGTAATATAGCATTGGAAAAACGGACCCCCAACAAGACTTAGCCAGAATTGTTGTGTGTTGTTCTTGGAGGTAATATAGCATTGGAAAGATGGACCCCCAACAAGACTTAGCCAGAATTGTTGTGTGTTGTTCTTGGAGGTAATATAGCATTGGAAAGACGGACCCCCAACAAGACTTACTGAGCCTGATTCTCAGCTCTATCGCTTATCTGATTGCAAACAAGTGTCTGTTTCCTCATTTTTAAAAATGGTTATAATAATAGTTACCTGATAGGGTTGTCATAAGGATTAAATTTGTCATGGTGTATGCGTGTGCAGGTAAGAGACTTAGAACAAAGTCTGAAGACGATCTGTGCTCCATGGTCACCACTGTAACTCAGGGCAACTTGACGAGACTCCGCAGCATTGTTTCCCTTTGCCAGGTGGCTACTTCCGACTCAAAACGGAGCTAGCAAATTCAAGGTCAGTGAACCACATCAATCCGGTGAGTTTTAGCAGAATCACGTGGGTTATAAAGTATGAATATTTATAAGGAATTTAAACGGAAATTGTGACACCTTTCCTTTTTGCAGGGGAGGCAGGGGCTCATGAAGCCCAGGCTGATCCCAAGTTCACTGTGTAGCCAAGAATGACTTTGAACTTCTGCTACGTGCTGGGACCACAGGTAATCCCTTTGAATGAATATATAATCCCACATCTGGCCGTTTCTCCTTCCAAGCAAAATGTATGGCCGTGTGCATTGTCAGAAGTTCTGACCACTGTAAGGAGTCCCTTCCTGCGCCATTTAAGGTTCCCTAGTCCCAGACAGAGACTGGATTGCTGCAGCGGTTCATTTCTTGGTGGTGTCTGCACAGCGTGCAGAGCATTTGTAAAACAGGACCTAGTCTTCTCTTCCTTAGTCATCACACCATGAGGCACACCCCATGAAGCTGTAGGTGTGTGCCTGGGGACAGAAAGCATGGCAAAAGGGGCAGAAATCAGAGGCATTTGGGCAGCTTCTTCATATACTTGCTTTTCTCGGGCCCAGTTACATAGATACCACTTCCATTTGACAACGGATTGCAGCTGTGTATGTACAGCTTTGTGACTTGGCGGGTCAGATAACACCTAGCTCATAATGGGCAGCTCACGTCACATGGTAACCTGGTAATTCATCATCAAAAGTTTAGTTTCTAGGGCTGGAGAGATGGCTTACCAGTTAAGAGCACTGGCTGCTCTTCCATAGGACATAGGTTCAATTCCCAGCAACCACGTGGCAGCTCACAATGGTCTGTAATTGCAGCTCCAGGAGTTCTGACACCTTCACACAGACACACGTGCAGGCAACACCAATGCACATAAAACAGAAAATAAAATCAATAATTTTTTTAAAAAAAGTTCAGTTTCCACTAAGGTCCAGTAGCGTGGTGGAGAGCCATGCTCCAAAATCCCAAGGGCCTCCACTGTGGTTCACCTATAGCGGCCTGCCAGAGACTCCACACAGCATCCCTATCTGCCACTGACACCTCAAGTACCATCGGGTCCGCTGGATCATATGGTCCAAGTGGTAGATCAGCCTGCACTGCAGCCTGGACCTGCTGTGAAGAGCCTTCTCCTTTCCAGGCCCCACACAGAGCTAGCAGCTTTCGAAGTCACTTGGTATATGGGCCAGAATAGCACACCCAAGTGAGGAATGTGCTGTCTCCAGAATCCAAACAGGCCCACTAGACATTGTGCTTCTCTCTTGGTGATAGGAGGGGCCAGGTGCGATAACTTACCCTTCACCTTAGAAGGACTATCCCGGCATGCCCCACACCATTGGACTCTTAAGAATTTCACTGAAGTAGAAGACCCTTGAATTTTGGTTGGATTTATTTCCCATCTTCTGATTTGCATACGTGTTACCAATGAGTTCAAAGTGGTTGCTATCCTCTGCTCACTTGGTCCAATCAGCATAATGTTGTCAATACAGCGGACTGGTGTGATAATTTGTGGAAAGAAAATGTGATCAAGGTCACTTTGAACAAGGCTGGAGAATCAATATACCTTTGAGGTATAACTGTAAATGTGTACTACTGGCCTTGTTAGGTGAAAGCAACTTGTCTCTGGCGGTCCTTAGGTACATGTGCTAAGAAAAAAAATCGTCTAGGTCACTCACTGCATACTAGGTGCTAGGAGTTGTGTTAATCTGCTCAAATAAGGACATCACATCGAACAGCAATTACGATTGGAATCTCTGCTTGATTAGGTTTGTGACATTCAACTGTCATTCTCCATGATCCGTCTGTCTTCTGCATGGACCAAATGGAAGGGTTAAAGGGAACTGTAAGGACCGCCACCCCTGCATCTTTCAAGTCCTTGATGGTGGCACTCATTTCTGTCACCCCTTCAGGATGTGCCATTGGTTTTGGTTGGTTTTTGCAGGGCTGAGGATGAAGCCTGAGACCTCCCGCACACACAAAGCAAACATTTCTCAACCGATCTTCAGCTCCAGCCCACAGAATCTTTGTTACACACACATATGTATAAATACATGTATTTATTCTGTTCCTCCAGAGACCTTGCTCTGGTACAGAGAATTTTGTTTTTAATCATTGTGGCATTTTTGTTTTTCTTGTGCTTTCCAAGTTTGTGAGAACATGCCAACTTCCTTATCTTGACTCCAAAACCAAAAGAGGAATCAAAATAAGTTGTATTCATTTTTATATATTTACAGAGTGGTAATGTACACCTATAATCCTAGCACTCAGGTGGCAGGGACAGAGGGGTCACAAGGTCCAGGCCAGCCTGAGCTACATAATAGTACATAATAGAGCTACATACACAGTTCCAGGTCAGTTGTATTGTTGTGGAACTCTGTCCTTAAGGGATGACATGGCCATTGCCATCTTGACACCAGAGTCGCTGTGGCTACCTGTGTGTGAGATGCACACTAACAGTTCCTTGTGGATGGGAGAGGACTCACAAAGGTCGTGTGGAGACACAGGGGTAGATCACCAGGAGGCACAAAGGCAGTCAGTGCATGAGGTACTCACAAGGCCCCACCACCTCTTGAGAATACACAAGCATCCAGTAACTGCTGCAGAAAAAGATCCTCTGCTGGTTCAGCTGGCGGTAAGTGGCCCTGCCACCCCTTCAGGGATGTGTTGCAGGTCCGGGTTTGTTTTTGCACTGATAAGGATGAAACTCAGGCTTTCTGAAATTCTTCCTCACCCATGCTTCTGTAAGTAATCCCAGTTAAATTCATTGACTCACCAAGCTAGACTTCAGTGGCACCTTTTGGGGGAGATGGGGACAACAGAATCTCACCATGAACTCTTGACCAGCCTGAACCTCTTATGCAGTAGACCAGGCTGGCCTCAAACTCACAGAGATCCATCTGACGAGGAAACTGGGGCTAAAGGGCAGGGGTTAAGGGTGTTCACTGCCAGGCCTGGCTGAAAGCATTTCTTTTGTCTGTCCTCAGTGCCCCATCTGGGGTGGACAGACTTTTTTACATCTCCCCTGGAAAATTATGTACCCGTTGGCAGCCAAACAACCATACAACAAAACCAAAGATGATTTTGGGAGAAGCAGCTGCCTTGTCCCCCCGCTCTGGATGATAAGACATGCAGCTGAAGATGATCTATTTGAAGGTGGAGTATCTTCAGGGGGGATCCTGAGATAAGCACCCTTACTTTGTTGTTGTTGGGTTTTCTTTTACTCTAGCCCCACCTTGGCATGCCATAAGGTTGTTGGTTGTTTTTACTCTTTTGGGGGCCTGCCACCCAGCTCCCAAATAAATACACACTGACGGAGGCTTATTATTACTTATCAGTGCCCAGCCTTAGCTTGGCTTGTTGCTTGCCAGCTTTTCTTAAATTATCCCATCTACCTTTTGCCTCTGGGCTTTTTCCTCTTCTTACTTCTGTAATCTTACTTTCACTCTTACTCCATGGCTGGCTGTGTGGCTGTGTGACTGTGTGGCTGTGTGGCTATGTGGCTGGCCCCTAGCATCCTTCTCTCCTTGTTCTCTTGCTCCTTCTTCCTTTTCCTCCCAGATTTCTCCTATTTATTCTCTCTGCCTGCCAGCCCCACCTATCCTTTCTCCTGCCTCGCTATTGGCCATTCAGTTCTTTATTAGACCATCAGGTGTTTTAGACAGGCAAAGTAACTCAGCTTCACAGAGTTAAACAAATGCAGCATAAAGGAATGCTGCATCATTAAGCAGCATTAACATCTTTGCATCATTAAGCAAATGTTCCACAGCATAAACAAATGTAACCATCTTAAAACAATAGTCTACATTATTCCCTGCTTGTATGTCATAGTATCCTTCTTGCTGTGGTAGCAGTCATATTGTTGCTGCTGTTCAACCAAGGCTGTGCCATCTGAAGGTGAAACGTCTATGGAAGGGATCCCAGTATGACCATCCTCTTCTATGTGCTAGAAATGACACACCTCCTTGATGAGTAGAGTCTGCCACGTAACCATGAGAATCATTGCCCAACCCCACCAAATGGCTGATGGGTAGAAAATACTTTGCAGTCCCCTAAAGGAGCACATATGGGACAAGTTCCTAAGAAGGCTTTGGTATCAGTTGTGTGACATTTGCTATGATGATAAGGCACGAGGATCCTGAAGACGACTCAGTGGATAAAGACACGTGTCACCACCATACATGATGACCTGAGCTTGATCTGCTACACCCACATGGTAGAAGGAGAAAACTGACTCCCACAAGCTCTCCTCTGACTACATATGTGTGCATGCACACATAAGTGTGTGTGGTGAAGGGAAGGCATACAACTGTAGCTCAACTGTCTGCCCAGAAAGAACCTGCTCATCTAAGGGACAAATTGCAACATGAAAAATACGTTTGGAGTCTATCCTTTTCAATAGCCTCTTAATTGGTAGGAAATGTGGAAAAACAAGAGGAAAAAAGGGAAGGCATTGACTTGCTGTTTCATAGGATGGGGCATGTGAAGAATATAAGGGAAAGAGAATACAAATTAGATCTGTGTTAAATAGCCCCACTTGAGATCCAAAAACACAGAACCCATAGGAAAAAATCTGACAGTGAAGAGGGGTAGGGGGACAGGAGATACCCTTCAGGGCCAGCCTGTAATACAGAGGAAGGGAAAACCCATGATTCAGCAAGCAGGTAGAGACCTTGATAGTGGTCCAGAGCAGAAAACCACGATAATCAGAGACTACTCTGAACTGCTTTAGCTGGAAAAGACCAAAAAATTATACAGTGTCTCCAACCTTGGCTGGTGAGAATATGAGACATGGGCGGGGGGTGGGGGGAGTCAGTCTGGATGCTGTGGAAGCAAAGAGACTGAGTAATACAGCTACTCCTTCATCCTTGACTCAAAGATTGTGTATCTCAGACAACATGAGAGAAAGCAGTCCTGTTGGCGATACTTGCTTGTTACTGGTTGAGGTCCCTGTGAGTATCGGGGACTGGAAGATAACAGAGGAAGGACAAGCACTTGGGGGACTTGGGGGTGTGTAAGAGAGGCAGTGTAAGCTGGGCAGTGGTGGCGCACACCTTTAATCCCAGCACTCAGGAGGCAGAGGCAGGCGGATCTCTGTGAGTTCGAGGCCAGCCTGGGCTACAGAGTGAGTTCCAGGAAAGGCGCAAAGCTACACAGAAAAACCCTGTCTCAAAAAAAAAAAAAAAAAAAAAAAACAAGAGAGAGAGAGTTTGTCATCAAACTGACGTTTCCCTGACCTGATAGGACTCTGTGCACAGGAGAGCCGGGAAAGAAGGCCTGACATCAGTGCTTAGTGGTTTGGCTGAGCCCTGCGGTGGGCTATTTTCTTTACAAGATAAGAGAAGTGCTGGAAGATCTGAGTGATGCTGGCATGTAAATCATGTTCATAGAGTGCCAAAGCAAGCAATACAGGATCAGAAAAAGGAAAAGCAGACATGGGACTTTTCCAGGTCACTCAAAAGCAAATGTAGCAGGTTTTTGTGGAGTTGGAGTCCCTAGGGGGAAAAGCTGTTAGAAAGCCAAAGTCAGTGCTCGTGAGCCTCTGTGGGGGCAAAAGGAGTGAACGACAGACCAGAGCATGTGGAACAGAGTACGTTGTTCCCAAGGGAGGGCAATTATCTCACCAGAGGATGCTGAATATATTTCTTTTCCAAGGGAGGAGGTTGCTCACGAAGCCCAGGCAAATGTGACCAGCAGAACGGCAGCGACAACCCTAGAGCCTATCAGATTCAGGAAGCCGGAACGTGTATGGCAAACAGCAGTACAGCCCTTCTCCTGGGCTGGCCTCATAGCAGATGGAACAGCACGAGCCAGACTTACTGGACCCTTCGGGAGTGAAGATGTGTGGAGACAGTGCAGCAGCACCCAGGGTGAGGAAATGGAATAGCTATGGAGAATGACAGAAACCAAAATCAGATCACGCCTCTCATCTGTGATGCTGTAACCAGTATTGCTCTTTTGAGGAAGCAGCTGATGCAAAGTGATGGAATATTTTCATGCTGGCTTGGACCTTACTAACATTATTTTTTCTTTTTTTTTTCTTTTCTTTCTTTTTTGGTTTTTCGAGACAGGGTTTCTCTGTGTAGCTTTGGAGCGTGTCCTGGAACTCACTCTGTAGCCCAGGCTGGCCTCCAACTCTGCTTCCCGAATGCTGGGATTAAAGGCGTGCACCATCACCACTGCCTGGCCTAACATTATTTTCTAACATCAGTTTAGCTGACAGATCCCAAGATCAACTGGCACTCGCCTGAAATGGTTGTTGGTGGGACGTCTGAGATCCTGCCCACCCTTTGTGAAAAGGTTTCATTATTGGATGCTCACCTCCAAGTGTTTTACCCGTTTAGACAAGCATGGAAAGTGATGAAGGTACCTAATGGAGACGGTGGGGAACAGTCCACACAGGGACAAGGGCCGGGTACAGTGGTGCTATTTGGGGGGGTTTATGGTTGCCTAAGGTGTGACACCCAACAAGATGATTGACAAGAATCCTACAACAACAGCTAGTGCCTGTAAGTTAAAATAATGGTTAAAGACTTTGAATTAAGGTACCTTGTCTGGGTGGGAAAAGGCATTCCCAGAAACTGTAAGAGTTTTTTGTTTGTTTGTTTGTTTTGAGACAGGATTTCTCTGTGTATCCCTGGCTATCCTGTAACTTACTCTGTAGACCAGGCTGGCCTCAAACTCAGTCATCTGCCTGCCTCTGCCTCCTGAGTGCTGGGATTCAAGGTGTTCACCGCCACCATCCAGTGCTGTAAGGTTATTGAATGAAAATCTCAGTGGCAGAAATGGGCCTCCATCTTATGAGATGTTGATCAGAGATGCCCCCTGCTGAAGACTGGCTATTGCCACTGTCTTTGGGTGCATGCCAGAACTAGACTTCAAGACCCTGTTGCTGAAGACACCACACACTTTAGTTGCAAGAAATGGGGAAATCAGATTGGAATTGAACCCAGAGGGCCTTCTTTGCTCACTGGCTTTCGTGGTACCAGAAGGTACTCTGCAGACTTCCGGGGGAGGATTGTCATCTACAGTCTTGTTTGGTTATGGACCCTGCATGCTACACTATGACATGCCACGCAAGATGTGCCCACGGGTCCAGTAGCAGTACAACTGTTACCAGTGCAACCCACGGCTTTCTAGTTGACTTTTTTTTTCAGATTTACTTATTATGTGTAGTGTTCTGTCTGCACGCATCCCTGCAGGCCAGAAGAGGGCGCCAGATCTCATTACAGATGGTTGTGAGCCACCATGTGGTTGCTGGGAATTGAACTCAGGACCTTTAGAAGAACAGCCAGTGCTCTTAACCTCTGAACCATCTCTCCAGCCCCCTCTAGTTGACTTTAAGGCCCCCTTTACAGGAAATGACACGTGTTTGGTATTGTAAGACAAAAATCCCTAGTGGAGAAGTTATTGCTGTTGTTTCCCGAAATGGATATGATATGCCTGTCAAATTGCCTTGTAAACATTATGTTTAGATCCCTAGGTTATTGCTCTTGTGGGTCTTGGCTGGAAGCTTCTTTATAGAGTGGGTGGAGGTTACTATTGAAAGTATAAATGACAATTGCTGTGGTAGAGTGGAACAATGCTCAGCTTTAAGTGGGGAAAAATAATCATATGTCCATATCACCTCCTCCAAGGCTCAGGAAACATGGCAGAAGAGAGAGAGGAAAGAATATAAGAGCTGGAGAAAAGAGTGGAATATTGTGGAACTGTGTGCTCTGGACATGACAGGACTGTTTCTATCTTGGAATCATGTGGCTGTCTGCATGAGACACTCACATGACTGGGCCTACTAATATCCCCCATGCGGAAGTGGGCAGAGCTCCCAAAGCTCACAAGGTGGCGTGAGTGGTGTTTGAGGGACTCGTGAGATGTCTCAGGCTCCCATCCTCCCTTGGGGATACTCAAGTGGCTAATAATTGCTGAGAAGGGAGGCATGTCTTTCATGGTGTCACTCACCGATTGCCCGTATCCTGTAAATATCCTGTAAATAACTCCAACTAAACTCATCGTTTCACCAAGCCAGACTGTTTCCTTTATTCTATCATCATCGCACTAGTCTGGGGGTGAATAGGAGTGTGTTCACACTTCTCCAGGAAAAGTCATACACTGCTATATACAGAAGGCCCTGTCTGAAAAACTCTGTGTGTGTGTGTGTGTGTGTGTGTGTGTGTGTGTGTGTGTGTGTGTGTTTATAGACATCTATCATATCCATCCCTGGGCTGAGGAGTAAGGAGACATGCATGAATAATAATTTAAGTCTTCCTTCTCCTAGTCCCCACAATCAAGTCAGAGAAACAGTCACAGAAAAGAAACCTCAGCACAAGGACAAAGAAAACTACTCTGGAGTGGCCCATGAGAGGAAACTGACTCATTTAGTTTGGGCCTCCTTGCAGGCTTCACAGAAGAGGATCCCTTAAGCAAGGCCTCGAAGGATGAGTAGGAGTTCGCCAGATGAATATGGTGGGTACGAGGCATTCCAGGCAAATGGCAAAACTTGGAGAAAGTTGAGAAGGCATGAAGTAGCTTGGCATATTGTCTACTGTTTGCAGAGCTGGAAAAAGTCACTGTGTAGGGCAGTGGTGGGGGGACATTTTGGGGTAGGGAGGCCTGTCTGGAAGGCCTTGAGGCCAAGCAAAAGAGCGGAAATGTTTTCCAGGAGATATGTCCCCCGAGTTTCTGTGGAAGGAGGGGCCACTAAAATGGGAAGCTGGACACGGGAGAGAGGAGTCATGCCATAGTCAGAGGATTGAGGAGAATATAAAGGACAGGCTTTTACACAGGAGGAAGTTCTCAAAACGTCATGTTTAATGTTGAAAATTCAGAGGGAATTTTACACCTTACTTTTATGACTATTTATAGGAAACGAATGCTTACACATTGTCTCCTCATTTCTTCAAGAAAAGGAAAACACTCCAGGAAGATGCACACAATCGTTCCAAGCTATTGTTTGCCCTGGCACACTGCCGTTAAGGGTGACATACCCATAGATTGAACAGAAGGACTCCTCCAGGAAGTCTCCCCAGACCACACCAAATCTGCCTACAGCAGCTGTTCTCAACCTTCCTAGTGCTGCGACCCTTTAACACAGGTCCTCATGTTGTCTGACCCCCAACCATAAAATTATTTTGTTGCTACTTCATAACTGCAATTTTGCTACTGTTAGGAGTTGTAATGTAAATCTCTGTGTTTTCGGTTGGTTTTAGGCAACTCCTGTGAAAAGGTTGTTTGACACCCCGCTATAGGTCGTGACCCACAGGTTGAGAACTGCTGGCCTACCAGACTTGTTTGTTTGCTTACGATAGGGTCTTGTGAGCTGGGCGGTGGTGGCGCACGCCTTGAATCCCAGCACTCGGGAGGCAGAGCCAGGCGGATCTCTGTGAGTTCGAGGCCAGCCTGGTCTACAGAGTGAGTTCCAGGACAACTAGGGCTACACAGAGAAACCCTGTCTCAAAAAAACCAAAAAAAAAAAAAAAGAAAAGAAAACCACATTGAGTTCCCTGAGCCTGTGTGTGTGTGTGTGTGTATGTGTGTGTGTGTGTGTGTGTGTGTGTGTGTGTGTGTGTGTGTGTTGGGGGCTGTGGTTTGGATCAGCCAAAGCCTATACTGAGATAGGAGTCCTCCCCGACATGACCACCCTCTCAACTCCCCTACCAAATCTGTTACTGTTACCTCTTTCCATGCTGTCCCCATCCGTCCCCTCTGTCCCCTCCCCCCACTTCCCACCTCTGTTAACATGCTAACAGTTTGTATGAAGGAACTGTGTCCTGAATTCCTCACAAAAGCACTCTGTGCCCCAACTTGATTTATTTGGAATATTTTGGTTCTGGGACTTTGGCCAACGTCTGTGTTAGAGTTTAAAATCTGTGTCAGCGTTGGAGAGATGGTTCAGTGCTCTTGCAGAGGGCAGGTTCCCAGTACCCACATCCAGTGGAGGGAGCACAACGACCTGAAACTCCAGTTCCAGGGCATATGACAGCCTCTTCTGGCCTCCCCAGGCACCTGCATGCATGTGGTGTATATAAACTCACACAGGCACTCACACATACACTTATAAATAAACCTTTTCTAAAAATCCGTAGATAGAAACTCTAACATAGCTAAGGAAAGAAATGATTGGTTACGTGATAGTGCATAACCCACAAAATCATCCAGGCTACAGAAACAGGTTTGGCAGGACGGGACTGACACAAGCCACCGCTAGGACACTAGGGGTCGCTGCCGGCAGCCTTCTGCAGACACTGGGTCTCGTGGCCTTTGCTCCTCTTCGGAAATGTTCTCCGCTTCTTGACACGAGTTCCCAAATTTAAGTTCAAAGCCATGGTCCTGGCCTCTTCAGCCTTAGTCCTGTGTGCTCAACCTCGAGTGATGGAGCGCCAGGAAAGCAAACACATGCTTTCTGTGTCTGCAGATGGACGGTAAAGCCACACCCAGAAGGGCACACCTGTCATCCCAGCCTCTCTGGAGGCTGAGGCGGGAGAATAAGTCAGGAGTCGGAAACACAGCAAAACATTTTTCTCTGAAAAATAAATGAATTAAAGACAAACAAATATAAAAAACAAACAAACAAAAACCTTGTGAGGAGGTACATGCCTGTGATCCCAGGACTCAGGAGGCTGAGAAAGAAGGAGCAAGGCCAGCCTGGACTACATAGCAAGATCTTGTCTTAAAAATAACACACAAATAAATAAACAATGAGGTAAGGGATTTCTAAAAAGAAAGAGTCCAGATTCAAAGCCGTTCACAGTGGCTTTTAACTGTTTTAGTCCAAACGTAAGCAGATTGTCTCAATCAGAAAGGAATGAACCATGAGAATGGCATACGTGCATGCGTCTTACTATGACATCCGGGACCTGGTGACCTAAGAAAAGTATTGTTCGTGACTCCCGCAGTTCCGAGGCATCTATAAAGGAAGGTCAATACTATTGACCAAGGATTATCAGTGCTGCTCTAGGGACCCATCACAAGCCCAGGCGCACAGTAGGTTCACTGCTTATTAATATGGGCGTCCTTCCAGTTCATTTCATCCTAATTTTCTCCCCACCAGGTCTCACCCCTACATCTCCACCCAGTCCTCTCTGCCCCAGGCTGTGGTACTTCTCCTGTTTGATCTTTGAAGGGCTAGACAGACTAGAAGGGGTTGAGAGTGGGTCTGTCATTTTTCTCTCTTTTGGGCCCAGTTTTTTCAGTTACCACTGAGTTTTCTGTGCCTATTTATCTGCCTTTTCAGTCCCAAACCAGTACCTCAGGACATAACTTACTCCGTCTCTTAGAGGATGTGTCTACATAAACCCTAGGTAATCCCATTGAGGTGCAGGGGCTTGGCCAGGCCGGTATCTCTACTTAGCTGAGTCATGTCAACTGGGACTAGAAGCCAGAAGAGGGAGGAGACAGGGAGTCGGATAACAGGTCTCCCTGCAGCTGTGGGAATGTAAACTAGATACCCTGTGGGCGCTAACAAACCAGAACATGCAGGAGGTCCTGGGGCTCGAAATAACAATACTCCGGGCAAAAACATGCCTTGTGCAACACTCCGGCCAAAGTGTTCTTCTGAACCAAGGAAGCAGGGGGCCCTGCTTTCTTCATGGAGGCAGCTGCCTGGGTGAAGTTGGAGGGTTGGCTAAGCCTGGGAAAGTCCCCCAACCGCAGGTTTCATGACCTGGAGGCGGTCACACCCTCTTCTTGTTTATCCACAGGGCAATCTTTTCCCTGTCCGTACTCTTGCTTCTGAACTGAGTTCCTCTTATCTGCCACAAATCTCCTTTGCCCTTGTCCAACCCAGTGTTATTTCCTCTGAAAGCTTTCTCCTGCCCCGCTGTTTTTCAACCTTTCAAAAACCCTGGCAGCCTCTCCCTAGAGATTCCTCCTCTCTAGCATATTCAGACAAATAGCTTTACCAAGCTTTATGTAACTGAATTTCAAACTCTCATCGGTGCGCCTTTTTCCTTGATCCATAGAGTCATTTGCAAGGACACTGCCTCTCATTCAAAACATATTTGTGAGGGTGGTGTCATGATCTTACCTGGAGGTGAGGTGAGGCAAGGCACTGGGCAACCGGATATATTCTGGTTTATAGGTGATGCGCTTACACCTCACTGGACCCAGGGATTTGGGAGATGAGAAGTTGGTGCCAAAGGCCTTGGAGCAGATGTTTTAGGACTGGGGCCAGTGAGTGCTCAGAGCGCTGAGCACAGCGCAGCTGAGAGCTGAGAGTCTATAATGAACGCCACAATGTATAAAGTCTGCTGGCTATCCTTTCTTCTCTCTCTCTCTCTCTCTCTCTCTCTCTCTCTCTCTCTCTCTCTCTCCCTCCCTCTCTTCATCTTCCTCCTCTTCCTTCCTTTGTCTTTTTGGAGGGAAGGTCTCACTGTATTGCCCAAGCTGACCCAAACTCCTGGGCTCAAATGATCCTCAACCTCATGAGCAGCTGGAACCCACAAGTGGGTGCCACCTCTCCCGGCTTCTTGGTGGCTCTTGGGAGGTTTGTGGTTTCTGAGTTTATTTCCTTGTTGTCCTTAGGCAGAGGTGACTTGTCCCTTGGGTAAGCAGGGCTTAGAGCTAACCTTTCTCCAGTGTTTACATAAATGCTTGAGTGGTGGCCACCTTTATGGACTCTAAAATACGGAAAGGAAAGTTCTAAAATAATGAATGCTTAGGTACGTGTCTACAAAACATAACAGTAACCAGTCAACTCCTTTGTTTGATTCTGTGTTCCTAAAGTGTCTATACCGAAAAACAACTTGAAAGTTGATTTTCTTTTTGTCACGCTCAGATCCTGAGGTCCCCCAAAAGACCACCACGGAGACCGAATCCCGCATGTAAAAGCAAAGAGCCTTTATTTCAAGCTCCAGAGCTTGATCCCTCTGTCTGTCTGACACAGCGGTGAGAGCAGAGAGCCCTGGGCTCAAGTGGGGCAGAGTTTTTATCATAGGGGAGGTTGGGGTCAGGGGATTTCCAGGGTCCAGGATCCTGATTGGCTGACAATTGTCTAGGAGTATCTGTAAAACAAAAACATCTCTCT